AAGCCCTAAGTGCCTGGTGGGGGACAAACGATAAGTGCATAATTGATAGAGACGACATCACACTGATGGAATTGGATTTATTTGTTCTCATTTACCTATCCTTCCATCTTTGATCCCTTTTTAATAATTAAAAACCAAGTACTCTTTTCATATCAAATGAATATAAAAGGAAAAGAAATGGTGAAGCGAGCATGGTTTTAGCGTGGGGTCCCTGACTTCTCAAGTTTGAATATGAACTTTTTAATCACTATTAATTTTTTTCCCAACAACCACAGTATTAATTTATTGTATATAATACAAAGGGGGAAATTTTATATAAAAAAATTCAAATAATATCAATCTCAAATAGTTCTTTTTAGATATATTTTTTTTAAAAAAAATCGTATATTTCATGTTGTCCCCATAAACTCATCGCTCATGAACGAGCACAAATATCCTTTTTTTTTTTTATAGACAAGGTATTTATATAATTACCCTTCGTAAATATATATATACGGATGCTCTTGACATTTACATAAATGTTTAAAATATAAAGCAACATCTCATATCATGATGTTGAATTGTTGATGACTCCTAAAGGTCTAAATTTAGTTATTTTATGTTGTGGTCAAAATCGTTGGTTCAAAAAATGTGAGGTAACATCGATAAAATATTTATAAGAAGCCTTGGAGGGTAATCATATTTCAGTACTGTTGCGATGGTAGGTCCCGACCTGACCTCAAAATTGAATGGCTCTCAACCATCATCCCTGAATTCGCAACTTTTACTTTGCCTCTGCCTACCATTTATAACCGACAACTAGTTTCCGGTAGCTTTTATTTATCATTTAAACCTCTTTAAAACATATTATGATTAGCGAAGATGAAAAGACTTGTATCTTCTCCATGCATGTGAGAACGCAGACCAATTATGGCGTCCTATTGTATGTTTCAGTTTAAAACTTCGATAAAAACTCACTCAACGTAATATGTATAGAACTGCCAGCGTGTTCATGCCTTTCAATATTTAGATAAATGAGGTGGATTTGATCATCCTGACCATTAAACCATGAATATTACTATTAGCGCCTCTAATTAAGTCTAGTCGAGATTTTCACTAGTTGAAAATGACTCAGTTTAATTTATAATCTACTAATAATTAACTCAACGATAATGCTAATGTAGCTTTAAATGATTTAGGTTGAATACATCTAGTTAATTACTGCAGTCAATCATTTTTAATCTTGACTACGGACAGGGCTACAGACCACAGCCAGCCTTCGTACTGTATTGGCTGCCCCCTTACAAATAATGTAAATAACAAGCCTTGCACAAATAAAATAAAAAGTAACTGATACTAGCGGCATCATTCTCGCATTACTTACACATATACTGGAATAAAATCTCTGCTTCCATGCATTATGGTCTATCTCAGCATGTGAAAGTTCCCATAGTCTCACAGAATGATTTGTAGTGTATATTATGTAAGCTTGGATATGATATTTATGCTAACAAAAAGTTTAGTATAATGTGATGAAATATACATATAAATAGTAGCGTATGGTAGCATCTGCAGGTAACAATGAAATGTAGCTAGGTATTGTAACTGCTGGGATTGTACGTCAAAATAACATCAAAGCCCCAAAATGAGTAGCGTACGTGTTGCATGTTATGGATGCTACGATGCCAACATAAACATCCAGGTCTGGTTATTAGGTGTCCGGTAACGGCGGAGGAGGTTGGCGTCCTCATTAAGCTCATTATTCTTCCCATTTCCTTTGTTGACCTTTCTACATTTACACAAGGAAATTCCTCTTCTTGGGATCTATATTTTTTCCCGTTAAACAATGATATTCTTCTATTAGATGTAATTTTATTCAATACATTGTTGAGCGCTAAATGTAGACACTTTTTTCAGTAGAGATTTGAATTGGGTTTGCCATGCGAAAGACTTTCCCCTTTCATGGGCCCAACTCCCATTATTTATTTGGTTGTATATAAAACTCACATGCGGGTGAATTTTCTCCTTTTTTTTATGCGCTGTCGATTCACAAAACAAACTATTCTTTCTGTTCTAAATATAAGACTTATTTATATTGTAATTTATATTATAAAACGAGTCTTATAATTAAAAACGAGTAGTAGTAGTATATTTGATTGGGGATGAGATCCCTTGGCTTCAAGTGCTTAACGCACTGCTTGGTTGGAAGTTTTTGGGGGTAGGGGAGGACGGGGAGAAGAGATTGCGTCTAGTTCAGAAAAATGGAGGCAAGAGAAATATTGTGTCTCACCTTAACTAAATTACTCATGTTAGTTTTAAATACTCTAAGTTTCTCCTTTTCAGTAATTTTTTTTTCACTCTTTGCCTCTTTTTTTTTCCCAGCATCTACTATTCTTCTACGGATTTTTTTCACTCCTCAGATATTTTTTTTTCTTGCATATTTTCTTTCTTTGGTTTCATTATTTTCTATGCTATTTGCTATTAATCTTTCCCGTCTTTTCCTCTTGTCTAATCCCCCACCTCATTTATCTTTTCATCATTATCGGTGTTTTTTATTCATTTATTCTATGTAAAACTATTCTTTATTGGTTTATATGAGTTAAAGTCGTTGAGATCTATTAAAATGATATTATCAATCACGAAATTCGCTAATAAGTGTGTCCCTATATACCTATTTTAATTCAATTTCATTTTTTACACAAAACTCTGTGTATTATCTAATTAAGCATATGAGATTGCGCACGTTATATAATTAAGAATAGAATAGTTTAAAACTTGTAGCATAAATTTATTTATAATTTATAAAATATGCTAAAGATTATAATATATATTTTTTATTGACATTTATTTTGATATATGATTATTTATAATCTATTTGTTATATCTCAAGGTATCCGATTTTTTAATACTCACAAATTAGAAAATAATAATTATGATATAAATATTGTAATAAAATAATAAAGAAGTTTAAATAAAGAGATAGGGATATATTTGTCAACTTATAATTAGCTCTCATCCCTTTTCCTCCTAAACCAAACAAGAAATCTCTCATCTACTCTCTTTCCCTCCAACTAAACAAAATTCATAACTTCCCCTCTCCTCCCCTCTCCTCCCCTCCCCTTAATTCACCTCACCTCCCCTCATCCATTGAACCAACAAACCCTAACACTATATTTGGTAAGGGGTTTTTGGAGGGGAAGGGAGGGAAGTTGCTCCCATCTCCTTGTTTGGCTGGTGTACTTTTTTAGGAAGGGAGGAGAGTTGCTCCCCTCTCTTTGTTTGGTTAAGTTATTTTTTAAAGAGGGGAGGGGCTCTTCTCCCCTCTTTTTCCCTTCTAGCCTCCCCCCTCTAAAAATGGGGTTTTTTAGAGAGGTGATAAGAGATAAAATTTTATCTTCCTAAATTAACTTAAGTAAAATATTTTAATTCCTTTCTTGCCTTTTAGAGTTTTCAACCCTCTTATGCTCACACCCCAAGAAGGTGCCGCCACCCAATTGTGAGTCTATCAATCTTTGTCTTCTTCTAGGCTTCATTACTCAACCCTCTTATTTTTTAGTTGCGTGTTCTTTGACTTTTCTATTTGTATATATAGGCTGCAATAAGAAAGAAAATAATGACATTTCTATATGACTTTTCTTTGAAGCTCGTGAAGTCCATTGTCAAAAAAGTCCAAAAAGATTTTATTACTCTCTGGGTTTTCGCTCTTCGTGTAAGTAGCTGAAAAAGTTTGACATGCTTCTTATAGAAGATAAAAGGATCAAATCAGGCAAACCAATAGAATTTATCTGTCTTCTTTGCTGGCTAAATTGTTTGCTAGGGGGATTGTAGGCTTGTTTCAAAGATTTGTTTATAGATGCTTCTCGTTTTTACGAGTTTATTATAGGAAGCAACGCTTTTAAGCTTGTTATAGGTTTGGATTGTCTCTCACATTGAAGGAAAAGAAAAACCTCACATATTTATAAATTTTTTCCAATAATAATTATGGGTATAGTTTCACAAAATATTTTTTCAGATGCACATTAGACACAAAAGAGACCCATATATGTGATACTATCACTAGTGTAGCAGTGAGAGACCCTTGATCACATATAGATCTTGTTAAATTATAATTTACTAGGTAGTTCTCATTCCACTCCTATTCCTTTTATTGCACATATATGCTATTATGATATTAAATTAGACATCCCAAACTAATTAAAAATATTATAATTCTTGTTATTCTTTAATTATTGTTCAAATAACAAGTAATCATAAATAATTTGTATTATGGCAAGTCAAAGTTGGTAAATTATATTATACATATTTCTATCTTGACAAAATAAAAAAGTGAGAACTTTTATTTTAATTTTATAAGATTAAAATAGTCAAATTATGATTAGCTCCCCTCCCCTCCCCCTCCCCTCCCTTCCCTTTCAAACCAAATAAGTTATCATTACAATTTCTCCCCTTTCTTTTCCTTTATTAAAACCCCTCCCCTCCCCTCGCTTTCCCTCTATAGCTATCCTCCTCTTCCTTTCCCTCCATTAAAATCCTTTATCTCCCCTCCTTTCTGTCAAGTCAAATATAATGTAAAGAGTTGTCATTGTTTTGGGTTATTGAACAGTTGGCCCTAGCCCACCTGTAAGACAACGTACGTGACAATTTGGAGCCCAAACCATGTGATGATGAGGGTTGGCCCTCACAGTGACAACATTTTGTTGGTGGTCTGTTTGCTTTTTCATAGAGGGAGCTTATAAATCTGGGTCTAAAACATCTATGAACCGCAGGGACTCCTCCTTCAATGTCTGGGCCCTTTAATTTAGGTTCTTTTTAAAAGGCAGCTCTTAAAATGAGCTGAAATTTAACCTCTTGTCGCTTGGGCCTAAAGCCCTAAACCCATTTTTGAGCGTAACGACGTCGTAGTGGCAATGATGACGAGGCTCCAGCCGCCACTGGTGTGGTTGTTGCGTAACATTAGGTCTGATATTTTAGCCAGCCACCGCCCTCTCGAGAGTGCTTGATTCGGAGAGAAATTCACTCCTCTGGTCTGAGTCTCACTCGGATACGCAATCATAGTGCCCCGACTCGGACTTCGCTTGCGCCGGGACACGTGTAATCCCTCGCCTCTATATATTGTTATCCTCCCAGCCTCCAGCCTAGGAGGTTTTTGTTCTCCATTCCTCGCCCACGCACGCACTGCCTCCAAACCCTAGATCTAATCCAACTTTCTTTTATTTATCATCTCCCCGATCTCCTTTCACCCCTCGCTTCCCCAAGGTATTCTGATTTTATACTGACAGGTTTTGTTTTTGCTATTGTTATTCTTTATTTTTGCCGTATTGTTCACGGTGTGGCTCTGCTGCTTGCGCAGGTTAAGGATGGTGTCGGACGCGAGTAAGAAGAAGGCAGCGCAGAAGAAGGCCGCCGCTGCTGCGAAGAGAGGAGGGAAGGCCGCCGCCGCGGCAGCTTCATCGAAAGCGGCGGCATCGGAGGCTCAGAAGGCTGCCAATAAGCTTGCCAATGGAATTGGTGAAATCCAGATATCCGATCGTACGTGCACCGGCGTCCTCTGTTCGCATCCTCTTTCGAGGGATATTCGGGTGAGTTGTTTATTTGTTATTCTCAAGAATAATTTAATAGGAACAATTGCGTCATTTATTGTTCCCTTTTGGACGATTTCCTCAGTTATATAAAGAAGGACCTCTGCTTATAAGTGACTAGTTGGCAGGCATGTGAATCTTTATGTATGTTGAGGAAAGGAAAGTTACTGCTGGTGTTGACGTTTTGCTAGTAACGCAAGATAGAGTATTATTATTATTTATTAATTAATTAGATGGATTATTTACTTGTTGGAGGGGCAGAGCATGCCAACTTTTAAAGCGGTGAGAAAGTGAATAAACACCTTAAGGTGTAGGAAGATGAACTTACTCAGATAATCTAGTAATTGAAGATATGGGAGCCTTTTTCGCAGTATCAATATAATGATTCATCTTTGCCCAGAATGCAAAAATTATTATGATGTGTCCCACACATTTGCTTTCCATCTTTATTCTGGTGAGTTATAGTTATATCTGGGACAGGAAGCATCCATTTAGGTTCCACAGTTTCTTCATCTTGATAATACAGGTTTTCTGAATTGTTCTTCACATTCCCAATCTAGCAACTCTTATTTTTAGCTTATTTTTTCTAGCTCGGGTGCACCTAGCTGAGCTGCTGGGTCTGTAGCCTGGTCATTCTACCATGTTGCAATCTAAGAGGCACTGAGACGGGTATGGCATGTGTTTATATAAATATATATATCTATATATATTATATGAACCAATTAATACATGAAAATCCAAATGACATAAAGGAAAAATCGAGTCTTATAGAGATGTTGCTCACAAAATACGATGTTGATGACAGATTGTAAGAGAAGCATAAAGCAAATCAAAACTAAGGGTTTCAATTAAAATTGGAAAGCAACCTTCATCTCTATTCACAATTCGACTTCTTTTTTGGGGGGGGGGGAATGGTGGTGGGTAATAGTGGTGCGATTAAAGAAATGCTCTGGATTGTGATGCACCAATTACAGCTAATTTTGTTAATTGTTAATGCTGTAATGGTCGGCCTCATATTGATGAGCTTATTTGTTTCATGCTGACAGATAGAGTCTCTATCAGTTACTTTTCATGGACATGATCTCATAGTTGATTCTGAGTTGGAGCTAAATTATGGAAGGTTCGTAGTTGTCACTGATCTATCTTGAATTAAAATGCTACCAACTATACATATGATTGTTATTGATGATCATAATTTTTTCATGATGCTTTGCAGACGCTATGGTCTCCTTGGATTAAATGGGTGTGGAAAGTCTACTCTCCTTACGGCATTAGGTTGTCGGGAGCTTCCAATTCCTGATCACATGGATATTTATCACCTTACTCGAGAAATTGATGCTTCTGACATGTCTGCATTGGAGGCTGTCATAAGCTGTGATGAAGAAAGGTTGAAATTGGAGAAAGAAGCTGAAACTTTGGCGGCACAGGTGTGTGGATGTGTTTAAGTGGCAAAACATCTAAATTTCCTATTGCATGCTTCTTTCCTTTTTTTTTTTGGGGGGGGGGGGAGGTTGTTTGGATATGCCAACTTATTAAAGAACGGTTCTTTCGTTCTTTTTTTTTTTTTTGGTCAAATGCTCTAGGATGATGGAGGTGGTGAAAGCCTTGAACGTGTTTATGAACGATTGGAAGCTATGGATGCATCAACTGCAGAAAAGCGTGCTGCTGAAATTTTACATGGGCTTGGTTTTAACAAGCAGATGCAGGCAAAGAAGACGCGTGATTTTTCTGGTGGTTGGAGAATGAGGATAGCTTTAGCACGTGCTTTATTTATGAACCCAACCATTCTTTTACTTGATGAACCAACTAATCATCTAGGTATCTGGTCTGCACCCTTGTTTATTTATGACTAGTAGGTGTTGTTAATGTGGGATTTGCAAGGCATCGATTGAGCATGTGGTGTTGACACTGTTGATTTTGATTAAACATTCTTTTGATGCCTTAGTAGCGTCAATTATGTCTCTATCAAATGAAAGGATATAGTATATCTGTATATGCTTAGTGTAAATTTTGGATATCTTCTGGGTTTTTATTACCTGATTGCTAGTTTCTTACCCTCATTCTGTCATGCGTGGTTATTTGAATCATTGTCTCCCTGTATGTTGTGTTCATTTTTTCCAATGCAACTGAAATGAAATAGTTATGCTGAAAGCTAGGTCTCCTACTTGCTGTGCTTTGAAATCAAAATTGAATCTCTATATTTGTTTGGCATGTTTCTAGCTGGCATCAATGTTTCTGCTTTTATATATATATATATATATATATATATATATCTGCATGGTTTCAGGAATGACTATGTAGTTTTGATTTATTTGCAGATCTGGAAGCATGTGTATGGCTGGAGGAAAATCTGAAAAAGTTTGATCGCATTCTGGTGGTTGTTTCACACTCTCAAGATTTTCTCAATGGGGTTTGCACAAACATCATCCACATGCAAAGCAGAAAGCTGAAGCCCTACACTGGTAACTATGATCAATATGTTCAGACGCGTGCTGAATTGGAAGAAAACCAGATGAAGCAGTACAAGTGGGAACAGGAACAAATTGCTTCAATGAAGGAATATATTGCTCGATTTGGGCATGGATCTGCTAAGCTAGCTCGCCAAGCACAGAGTAAAGAGAAAACACTGGCAAAAATGGAACGTGGTGGACTTACCGAGAAGGTTGTCAAAGACAAAGTCTTGGTATTCCGCTTTGCTGATGTGGGAAAGCTTCCCCCACCAGTACTTCAGTTTGTTGAGGTGACTTTCGGTTACACCCCGGATAATCTTATCTACAGGAATCTTGACTTTGGGGTGGACTTAGACTCTAGGATTGCACTTGTTGGGCCCAATGGAGCTGGGAAGAGTACGCTGCTGAAGCTAATGACTGGGGATCTGGTTCCTACTGATGGCATGGTCCGACGACATAACCATCTTCGAATAGCCCAATTTCATCAGCACTTGGCTGAAAAGCTAGACATGGAAATGTCTGCCCTCCAGTTTATGATAAAAGAGTATCCTGGAAACGAGGAAGAGAAAATGAGGGCAGCTATTGGGAAGTTTGGACTTTCAGGGAAAGCCCAGATCATGCCTATGAAGAATTTATCAGATGGGCAGAGGAGCCGGGTAATTTTTGCTTGGTTAGCTTGGAGGCAGCCTCACTTGCTGCTCCTGGATGAACCGACTAACCATTTGGATATTGAGACAATTGACTCTTTGGCTGAGGCATTGAATGAATGGGATGGGGGAATGGTGCTTGTTAGTCACGATTTTAGGCTCATAAATCAGGTGGCCCATGAGATATGGGTTTGCGCAGATCAAGCTGTGACCAGATGGGAGGGTGATATTATGCAATTCAAGGAGCATCTAAGGGCAAAGGCAGGTTTATCTGATTGAAGCAGATAGTGGGACTACACGATTGGTAGCGGATATATTACAAGGTTCGAGTACTTACGTCACTAATAGTGGGTGTTGCCGCTTGAGTTGGATTTTGTCGGGTGATAAAACTCGAGTTAAGTGGCAAAATTGGTTCATACCCGGGTCATTCTTAAAACTGGGATGGATGCCTTCACCTGCGAATTAGATTGGTGCTATTTTCATTTTAAAGTTCTGGTTGTTCTTAATTAAGTGGCTTTGGTTATTGACCAGATTTATGGATCACGGGTTGTCATTCATTATGGTAGTTATTAATGCCTATCTGAATCTTCTGTATGCGGCTTATAATATATAAATTGAATATTTTACCGAGTATAGTAGTAGAGCTCTTTCTACTTGATGAGGCCCGACCACCTCAGTTCATGACGATGAGCCCTTTGAAAAAGGCAATTATCAAAAGTACTTGCTCAGGTGGCAGAAATTTGGGTGAATCTGCTCTCCTCTCAGAAGTTCAGATTTGATTTTATAAAATTATTATAAACATAAATAGGTGAATTTAAATTGCTAAAATTTGTAGAAAATTAAAAACATTAGTTTGTGAAGTGTTTGTAATAATAATTATTATTTTATAAAAATACTAGTTTTTTGAGGTTAAGGACCTCTTTGGCAGGCACTCCCAAACCATGGTTTGGGGAAAATATCAACCAATGGTTTGGGGAAAATATCAACCAAACAGAAATGTGAAATTATGGTTTGGGAGCAAATCATGATTTTGAACCCCCAAACTATGGTTTCACCAGAAACGCTTCAGAGTAGCTTCCTGACTCAAATTATTATAATCTTGTTGTGGGCCCAATACGGATGACAAAAGAGTTTTTTTTCCTACCTCAAATGATTAATTTATTCCCCAGTCGGTTCTAAGCATTTGTTTTTCTTTTAATATTATGTTTTTATAAATATATATACACAAATTAATTATTTATTAAGTATATTATTCTTTACATTATTAATTATGTTAGTAAAAAATTAATTTATTAACAATTTTATTTTTTCAAATCAAAATATATTATAAAATCTATCTCTTATATAATTATCATATTAACTTATACCCTTTTTAGTAATTTACACATATAAAAAGTATTTCTAGTAACAACTATCTAAACACTCTCACTTCTCAAAATCACTTTTTCATAAAATCTATTCTTCAAAAGCTATTCTCTAAACTATGATTTGGTTTTATCCAAATATTCCTTTGGGGGGCTGGTTTTCTTTTATCATTGAGTGGATTAGGTTCTCCTAATATCGTGGAGATGCATCTATTTAAAAAAATTTGGGTTCCTGTGTTCAGTCGAATGAAAAACAAATTTAACAAATTGGGGTTCATGTTAGTCACTATATTAAAACCAACGAGTTTAGACCGTGCGCCTCAGAATGCTTGGCGCGCGCAAGTTAGTGGAAGTTGATTGGTTGCCGTGAAGCAACACTTCCACGTTTTTTTATAATTAATTTTGTTGGCGTCCAGCCTCACAAGCACTAGTGGTCTAGTGGTAGAATAGTACCCTGCCACGGTACAGACCCGGGTTCGATTCCCGGCTGGTGCATATGGATTTTTTTTCCCCAATTTAGGCTATGCTCGGTAGGTCACAAAATACCTTCCTCTAGTCGGTGCACGTTTAGCTCATTCTCGAGTTTTCTGGTTACCCGTGATGGCTTACAATGCTGCAGTAAATGTTCATTTTGTTCATTGAGAGAAATGAAGGAACTGTAACGGTGAGTCTGCAGAGAAATCGGAAAACAGAAACCACAGTTTTCTCATCTCTCTCGATTATCTTTGTAATATTTCTAACGCATTTGTTAGTGTGAATGAGAGGAGAAAACAATTGTGATGTGCAATAATGTAATTTGGCTCCTTATACTTTTGTATACCGAAGAGAATGATGGAGAAAGCGTAAGCCAATGCATAATCAAGTTATAAATCCTCAAGTGGGACTAAGTAATTATGTGCAAGTTTATAATACAAATCAAACTAATGTATAGCAATTTCATTTTCTCCTCCTGGCTGCATTAAAAGAGTTGTTTTATCCATATATATTACCTGATTATGTGTTATAAAGTCATTTTATGCATATGTATTACCTGATTTCTAAAGTTAGTGTTCAATTTAAAGGAACTTAACTTCAATTAGGTGAGAATTGTTTCGTTAACTTCAATTAAAATATAATAAATCATAAGCTTCCCGTACATCAGAGGGAAGCACAAGCTTAAGCTAGTTGTGACGGTAACGAAAAATTTCACAATAGAAAATAGATTAGATTGCACCGGGAAACACACGCTAGTTGTGATCGTAACAAGACATTTCACAATAGAAAGTAGATTAGATTAAAATTGGAATGACATAATATGATTAGGAGTAGGTTTGAACCATGGGTTTACAGACATTCCAGCTGACCGCATCACTTTCAGAGCGTCCCTCCAATATCCTTTCAAGCTCTCTCGGACTGCAAGGGATTGTTAGAGCTCCTTCATGATCAAACCCATACTCCTCAGCTGCTTCCTCCAATAGCCTCAAAAAAGATGGGTGCGTTAAGCAGCTTAGTGGCACAACAAATCTCCTTGGCTCCTCTCCGTCCTCAGCAATCACCGCAAAATGTCCTTCTTTCACATCTTCTGGGACATAACTCGACTCACTTCCTTCTTCTTCTTCGCATGCGTCTCGATATGAACTCCCTTTCATACCCGGTAACAGCTTCTTTTGGATCTTCTCAACCACAACTTTCAGCTTCACGATCCCACCTTTCTTTTTACCGCTGCTATTTCTGAGTTTGGCCATCATGCACTGCACTTCTGCTACTATTTGTGTATATATCAGCAGGTGGTCGTGTTTCTGAGTTTTAAAACTGGCTAGGGTATGCATTTATAGACAGAGATAAGATGTGAGAGGACAACGTGGGAGTGAGAGAGAAGGGAGACCAGTGCATGTTGGTGAGTGTCATCGAGCTTTCAATTTACCTTGAAAAGTCTCCTTTCTCTGCTATAGTCATGTCTACCTCACATTATTAACTCTACTCCACGATTACTGTTTCATTTTATTTGCCTTTTTTTTTAACCAATAGCCAACCGCCTTCGTCCAAATTATTCACCGTTTTCACCGAGTATTGATCCTCTAACCTAATGCTTCCATTTACGTTCATTCTGTGCACATGTATCTTTATTCATACATGTACTATGACTACCCAATTCAGCAGCTTTGAATTTCCGTAGACATTTTATCGTACGCATGCTCTGTGATCATGTGCTTCGTGTTGATCGAAATTAATAACGTCACCATTTTTTTTCGAGAGCAGCGTTGCGTCGATGGTATTTTGGACTTACGAGCAATGCTATTTAATAGTCGCTCTCCGGAAAGCGTGAAGGAGCAAGTACTAGGGGAAAAATGAGATCTTTTGCGGTTCGTAAAGATAAAAGTGCTCTTAGAAAAGTACGTTTCAAACATCGAGCGGTGTTCACCCACCTTGAGTTAAGTTGTTTGTTCCACTCCTGAATTATTCTACAGCTTGAGCTAGCCCCTTTCCATGACTATGATTTTGAACCATTATTTGCCAAAGAAATAGGGACAGCCTTTTTTGTTTTCAACCTCAAATAACACGCTGCTGTTTTGCAATCTACCATGATAAAGTTCATGAAATAGTTCAAAGTGCTACAAAGTTTGTTCTTGCGCATAATTATGCTGAAAATCTCGTCGTCCAAATACTCACGACCTGGTGGCCATGTATTTTGATGATCTGAATCTGATAATAAAAAGGAAAACAAGTTCTGTTCCCCCAACTGTAAGACTTAAAAGAGGCTAATCGAGGGCTCTCGTAATCACTAGCGCCTTGCTAGAAAAAGTTTGTACTCGGGGCCACCTATAGATGACATGGAACACGTAAAAATGTGGTTGGTTCGCATAAAAAAGAAAGAAAAAACGTTAGTGAAGGCCACAAAAATGTGACACATTCACATCATTTTTCTATATATTGTCATATGTAATCTATGCTTCTACTGGGAGAAGAGAGTCCTACGCGCGAGTCTACCTTGGCGCCTGGATTGAATATCGAGCTTTAAGATATTTAGGCGGATAAGAAGGAAGGAAGGGTTGGGGGGTTGCAAAAGAGAAAAAAGAACCTTTGGAAATGTCCCGAGCAATTATTCTCCGGGATAAGAAGAGGAAACATGAATAAGAAAAAAAGTGCATGGGGAGGCCTTAAGGAATTGGACTGTTCGATGTTTATTCATGTTTTTCTTTGTATAATGAATAGATGCAAGTTGTCAATCAGTTTGCTCTTGGGTTCTTGTCATGCAGTTATTGAAGAGGTCCCCATTTTGATGAAGAGATTCAAAGTCGGAGCTCAATTTTTGATACAGAGACAGAGCAGATTGAGGAATACATGCCAGCAAGGACGTGTTTGAGGAACATTATCCATTGTCTTATTCTTGCCATATCAATCGTGTTTCTGTTTGTTTGAAGAAAGTGCAATTATTCAAATCCCCCAGCAAGGGTATTTAGAAACATGATTTGACCAGCCTACGTTGTTATTTGTCGTGACTTGTCTCGGCGCATGCACATAACTCAGGGTCCGTTTGGATTAGTGATTAGAAAAGTAGCTTATTGTCAATTGGGTTTATGAAAAAGTAAAATTGGATAAGTTGAATTGTGTTTGGATTTGAGTTTAAAAGTTAGTTTGTAAAAGTGATATTGATAAAAGGTTGTTTGGATTATGATAGAATAAAAGTAAGTTTGGTTGTGAAATGAGTAAAATGGGTGTGAGTTTTAATAAATAATGAAACATGGTTAAAAAATAATTTTACATAATACAATGAATTTGAAATTATTTAATATGAAGAAATACAATTTAATAAGTGAATTAAATCTTAAAATTTTAGAGAAATCATAAAAAAATATTTTAAAGATAAAATGAAACATGATTAATTATTTTTTAAACTAATTTTAGCTAATTAATTATTCTTACATAAAGAGACTAAGAGATTAGTGACAGGAAATTTTTCTTTACTTTTCTGAATTTTTGAATGTCTGTTCTTCAAATTTCATTCAAAAATAAAAATTAGACTATCAGAGGCACCCAACTAATGAACGATCTTTTTGCTTATTAACAAAAGCGATGTTATTCTTTTCCAATAATGCATCTCACCACATTTCCCAGTATAATTGGGAAAACGACCTCAACGAAGCCAGCGCCCAACCTGTAACATTAAATGATGGCAACGCTTCTGCCCACAGTTTGTGCTCCCTCAATAAGCTCCAAAATAAGCTCCTATTCGTAGCTTATTTCCAACCCATGATAAGCCAGCTTATTTTTCAATAAGCCCGATATATTTTAAGCCCTTCCAAACATCATCAGAATTTCTAATTGGGCTTATGCCCAAAATAAGCAGCTTATGGGCTAATTTAAGCCCTGCCAAACATGCACTCAACCTTCTTGTAAAGCTCACAGTCGAGGTTAATCAACGTGCGATTTATGAATTCATTACCAACGGCCAAAAAAAAAGAAAAAGAAAAATCTACTTGAAAAGGCCAAGTCTAATCGAGTGATCATGGATTTGGATGATTTGTTCGAGCCTTTGAGGTATTAAGTTGGACCTGCCTTCCTTTGTATGGGAGGAGATTATGATTAATGAAATGAGAAGAAAAAAGGACTTGGGAGAACTTGTTTTAAATCAGTGTTAAGTGTTCTCTCTCTTATTTTTTGGGTCAACAGGTTGTTTACTGACAACAGCTCAAGCATAATATTGACATGTTTGTATAAACCTCTATTCTACTATTTCTTATCTTTAAATAATTAATATTTTATATTTAAAATTAAATTAAATATCAAACTAGTTCTTATACTAAAGATAAAAGATAGTATAAAAGTTTTTTGGGGCTGGGGTGATTGGCTTTTGGGACAATCCAACACTCGGTGGAAAACCTGGCGCTGGAGCAAGTGTCGTGGCCAGCACCTGATAAATGAATGAAAAAGATATAAAAGCGAAGGCATGATAAAGACTGCGGAGTGCGAACGGGAGAGGATAGGCACCAGAGAAGACAGGAGAGGAATGGAGGAGCGGGAGCTGGTTCCGCTTTTACAACATGTGGGCCTTAAAAGATCACTTTTACTCGTCCCATCTCACTCTGATCAGTGATCACAATCCTTACTCAACATCCCAAAAAGCAAAACAACCTGACTTGGTTCCTAAATATCTTCTCCTCACCCTGTTATGAGCTTCCAGCTCATCTACCAAGTCTTCCATACACACAGCTTTAGTGACACGCATAGAAAGCTTCTTGAGATAATTTAGATCGGAATAAATTAATCACAGAGTGCTAAAAATAACAAGCCCGTTGAAACTTGACGTGCCCTTGTGTGTTCATCGCCCTTTGCACCTGCTGGTGTCGTATTCTTTGTTAGAAGCTGATACGATTTATGACTTCCACATTTGCAAGTTCTGATTGAGCTATTTTGGGAAAGGGAAATAAAATCCACCATAATTTTAAAAGTGATTTCACAGTATATGAAATAAATATATGAAGGAATTTGCCTTAATTTGTAAAAAAAAAAAAAAAACTTTTTGGGTGTTACCAAATACACCCCTTAGAAACCAAGTTCAAATAGACCAAGCCAAACGATTGTAAAACCCCGTTCACCGGGAATCTTGCTCGCAGGACGCTGGCAGATCAGTGACTTGGTATTTTCACTTCATTGTTTGGAGATGAGTTCATGAAACTAGTGTTGACAGGCAAAGCTAGATGAAGAGGAATTATACAATGTGAACAAACGGAACATGCTTTAAGTCACTGTAACTCATCTTGTATTTGTTGCATCCCGATTACATGGAAAACTTTTAAGGAGGGATGTTTTTTGCCCTACGCAAAAACGTAATGAAACAAACACGAAAATACGATAACCAACTGCCATGAGAAACAAAACCAGTAAATTCTCCCACTTGGAATTACCGTCGCGGGAGATGTTATACGCACTTTGTAGAGCTTGAAACCCAGATATGCTCCTTACCTGCCCAACTGCAAAAAAGGTTCCCAGGTACTCATTCTCCAGTAGGCCCTACACCATTAAGACAAGTATTAGCTTCCATAAGGACCATCTCTAGTGGGGAAATTAGTTCACTTTGTTTAGAAGTAACTTTTCCAAAAGCCATGATCATGCTACTTGCCTGAATAGAGTATGTGTGAAAGGATATATAGGATATTGGATACATCCACACTGGTCCAGGCAAAGCATTTCGAATTCTAAAATAGCCAGCAGAAAGCATCATGACCACCTGAAACAATATACGTTTGTATTGACACATAGTTGAATAATTTGCATCAGAAGGCAGGTAAAAAATTCTGGTGTAATAATGGGGAAAAAAAAAAATTATCGTTTACCAATTGAATGACCTAAAATTTTGTTATTACTTTACGGCAAAAAATAATGTTCTGTGGGAAATGGAGCTCACATGTATGCACAGCAGGGTCAAAACACTCCAGAAGGCATCTTGCCATAGAGAAGCAATGACTAGCACAAGTCCTTCATTCACTAACAGACACATGAAAAAGTTCAGCACAAAGTACATCAACAAGCCAAACTCATCTCGCAGCCCTACTAGGAAATAGAACACGAGGCTTGATGAAATGGAGATAAGAAACAGGAAAGGGATGCTGGAGAGGAGTTGCCCAAGTAAAAAGGCTAATGCACCAGAGTGCCGGTTTGATTCTTCACAGGCATATATCTGCAGAACAAAATATACTTTCATCAGTCAACTTTTAAACTCAATAAAACAGTACCCCAGTCGTTGGCCCCCCCGGGGGGTGCTGTTTCCGCTACTACCACTACTACAAAAGATGTGGTGGTGGTGATAGAATAGCACGAATGATATATTTCCCTTTCCCCGAATCCCTTCTAATTTTGAAGTACCAAGTGCTTGTTTTGCTAAACCCAGAAGAAAAAATCCACGAGTACCAGCACCTAATTATTCCCAAAAGAATCATTGTATGATTTGTGCCTGTGTATTTCTATGCATCATAAGAAAGCAAGAAAGAAACCATACTGTAGAGATTATTTTTAAGGGGCGAAAAAAACACCAGATGGCAAATTCGAGTTCATTCTATCAAAAATATAAAACATATAAAGAAAATCTCAAATTGCTGCAAAATTCTGCAGGAATGGTGGCAATAGGATTACCTTGATTTCTTTCAAAAGTGCAGGCACGCCAGCAATGCTTAGAAGGGAGCAGAATGATACAAATACAAATATTGCTGCAACTCTAGTCTGCAATGTACGATATATAAAATATAATTTGTACGTTTTATGTGCGTATCAAGTATTAAACACATAATTAAATGGCAACAGAAAGTACAAGAAATACCATTTAAGTGAATGCGATTGTAATGCCGAGACTTACCACAACTGAGGACAGAGAATGGCCCAAACCAGAAAACACAGTCCCAATACAGAGTGTGAGAAGCGTATAAAGAATAAGTCGAAGCCAATAATATTTCCACTCCCTTGACATAACTAATAATGATCTCCATGTTAAGACTGCAATTCGAGTCGCATTACTAGCTTTGCCTTTGCTTTTGAGAGCTGGACCTTCCTGAGAAACCCAGAATGTTTTAAAAAATAAATCATAACAACTACGTTCACAATAGTAGCCCTTGAATTCAGTAGTGCAGCATATAGTCTGGTATAATAGAGTGTAGTGAGAAGTGCAAATCCAGATGAAGTCAAGCTAAGTAAAAACAAATATAAAGTAGTTGATAATCACAACCTTTAGCATATGCGGAGCGTCCCTAAGTACAAACTTCAACACACTTGAACATAACTTATGCCCCTCTTTCTTACAGAGGAAACTCCTCTTTCTTGCCCTTTAGTTCCACCAATAGTATTTCTAAATTCTTTTCTGTCACTACAACTCCTAAATTGTAAGACTTTTACTCTGACCTTTTAAGTTTGATTCAGATTCCAGCAAAAATTTTATTAATACACCACTAAATTTGGTCACAAGATCACCGTAACGAATCAGTGAAAAAAATAACGACAGAGAGAATGGAACTGGCAATTGGAAAGTGGAAATATAAAACTGATGGACGCAAGAATTAGGAATGAAACTCCAAATCCATGCTAACAAAAAGTCAATAAAAACAAAGCAGATTGCACATACACTTAGAAGCAATGCTACACCAAAATGAACTTTGTTATCTCTAATTATACATAAGGCAAATTTCAAGGAACACAAGTCATTTACTTGATAGTCACATTTAGGAAATAGTTGAGAAATCAAGCCACATTCAATCAGTCCTGCGTTCCCACAGAGCACAAACATGATGAACGCACAGTAAAAAAGATAGAATGAATAAAACATTAGGCAAAGCTCGCAGCTGATAGGCTTAAAAACTTAATCATAACATTAACAGCACCGCTACCTTCTCAATAAGTTTCAAAGTCATAGTTTCAACAGCAGCTGCATCTGCAGATGATTTATACGTTGCTTCAAGTGTACGTATAGCAACAGCAGTGTCCATGTTCACAGAAGAAAACTCCCCATTGTCATCCTGTTTATCACGATACCATTAATTAACAAACAAATCAGCCACCTCCACCGAAAGTCATTAAGGTTGCAACAATGCTGTGATAGATCAGAAGATTTTAGCTAAAAATCATAATCTCATGAGCATAGATCAATACATATATAAAATTCTTCTTAAAGAATTAACATATTATCTGCTTATAAAATCAATCTAACATAAATTAAAGAAAAATGCATACTGGAGAATAACGTTGGCCCAAAAAACATTCTGGAACAATTACCTGCCAGTTTTTGCACATCGCAATTATCCTGTCAAAATCTGTATTAATTGCACGGAGAAAGTGATCAGTAGGACTTTGCATGATAGGGCAAGGAAATCCAGCATTTGAGAAGTGCTTCATCAGAATAAAATTGCAGCAGTCAGTGATACAATAAGTAAACTATTTATGGCAGAGCAGGTTAAAGGAAAAAAGATAAGGTTTTTTATAATCTTGTACACACTAAAGTAGAAAGGATTTTTCATAATCATATTTAATGTGCAAGAGCATAATGGTAAAAGACAAGTTACCTGCAAACACGCTAATGTTTCTCCAAAGAACAGTGTGTTTCCATTTGAAAGCAGACAGATTCGATCAAAGAGGCCAAAGACTTCTGTGCTACTCTGATAGATGGTGAAAATAAGAGTATAACCAGTGCTTGCAAGTTTCTTCAATGTAACCATCATCAACAGAGCTGATACGCTGCAGAAAATTAAACAAATTATTAGAAAGGTGTTAGAAAATGATGGGCCTGGTTCGTTTAAGGGCCAATTCTATTCCAGGAGGAGTAACAAAGGTCCAACATTTATTACTGATTCTGGTGAGTATACTAAAAAGCTTTCTTGGCATCTGACAGGGCTGAATAGGAGGTTTTCTAGGGTTCGCAGCAAAAGAGAAAGGAAGATAATGGAAAGAAATTTCATGTTTTGTAGCCTAGACCCTTATTGAACAACAATGATTTTTATAACCATCTGGCCGCACCAAAAAACTACCATAAAGAGTGCAATATTGTGTCAACTAAAATAGCTTCCAGGTAGTGTATGGAGCATCCATGCAGATTGTTGTTTCCTACACCTTGCTGAGTGTAGCATGTAGAAAGGCTACTTATAAAATTGTGAGACAAAAATATTGAGTTATTGACAGACACCTTAAAGATTTAGATCAGAGTGAATTTTCAGATAAAAACAGAGATAAAAAATAAATACCTGTCAAGATGATAAAGGGGCTCATCTATAAATAAGATATGTGGTTTCATCACAAGCTCCCTGGCAATGCTAACACGCCTTCTCTCGCCGCTAGCAAGACCCTTCATGTAGCAATGTCCACCAATAAGCTTATTAGCATAATCACCCAAAGACATTGCATGAATGGCATCCTCAACCACATTCTTTCTTTGACAAAAGAAACCAGGAAGTTGAAGCAGGGCTGAATAGTATAGAAATTCTCGCACAGTGAGGGCTCCAATTAGAGTGGTTTCTCTCTCCACGTAACCCTGTAAATCACGAGGCAAACTTGATATGAAAAATCCCCTTAGCGATGCAACCAAAATATAACAGCTATTAAGAAGTTGGTAGAGAACAAGCTCCAGAGTACAGACATCTAGCATCATGTAATCACCAAACATCCCACAATAAAAAACAAAATCTAGTAGCTCAGGTGAGATGCTTCTAAACTTTCATAGTTGAAATAGTCTACAGAATCCTAACTTGCTCAATCATGTTGGAATTGTAGGTTTGAAAGCAATGGAAAAAGTAAATACTTAACAGCCAATGCGATAGTGAACTCACGTATGATCCATAAGGCATGTCTGATTTTACTCCATTCACAAACACTTCACCATAAATCCTAGCCGAAGGATGCAACCTTCCTGACAGATAAAAAAATTCAATTAAATTTTGATTATTCAAATATACGTCGGAAAAAAAACTATGCATTGCAATTAATCGATGACAGAGGAAGCACGCTTCAAAACCTGCAATAGCCCGTAATAGTGTAGATTTCCCTGATTTAGCTGGACCCATGATTACTGTCATTGTCCCAGGCAAGGCGTAGCCAGTTGAACTCTTAACAACCTTATCAGAGTATTTCCTTTTCCCCTTTATTGTAACAGTCAAGTCCTTCCACACAACGGAAGCTCCTGCAACTTTTCGCGGAACTGCTGCACCCTCTGGTAGATGCGGGGATGGCAAGGACTCACTGTTGAGCTTTGAAAGAGAAGGGGAAACTGGTGCAGTAGCAACATGAATAGAGTCACCTCCTTCTTCGATCCTAACGTCAATATCAGTATCATCCCATTCAGGTGAATCCTCAAACGAGATTGGTTGTCTGAGTGAACCGGGTTTACGCAGGTAGAAGAAGTTACTTGATGGAACCCTGCTTGCCGGGCTACTCACTGATGAAGATGAAGATCTATAATGATCCGATTGAGATTGTATTTCTTCCATTACGTTCAATGCCCATGCATCAAATGTTAGACATCATTTTGCATGTAGCGGGATACCTTCTATCAGCTTAGTAAGATTACAGCTAAGGCGTCAAGCAGGAAGGATTTATATGGCTCATAACATCACATCAGATTTTTAACCAGCAGATAATTCTCGTATCAAAAGCCTGCAATGCAAAACACTCAACATAATTACAATCGGGCAATGTTTGGCCAAATCAGTGTACTCAAGTTCTCTCATTTGGGATGAATTAGATAAAAACACTGATTCAGATATTCCCTCGTCGAGAAGAGACACCGAAGGACCAACAGATTGAGAAAATAGCTCGTTCTAACAATGACTCCAGTGAAGAGGAAAAAATAAAGGATTTTATGAACACGCAGCTGGATAATAGTTTTACTACTCATACAGAGCCAAATTAATTAAACGAAAATGTAAAAAGATACGGAATTGAATGTTCAGCCAGAGCCTAAATAGAATGAAAGAACAGGATCGCTGCGGAAGCTCGATAACGGGAAGGAGCATGATGGGATAGTGGGAGAAAGCATAAAATCCAGCAGATAATTCACGCATGCTCTTTTCCTCCATTGGTACAGAACCTGTAATCGGCGGACATTGAAAGGGCGACCAAGAAGCCGAAAAATCAAAACTTGTATGCTGAATATGTCAGGTTAAGACACAGGAGACACAAGGTCATCCTCTTTACTAGTTCTAATAGACCTCTCAGATGAAATGAACTCTTATTTCATCACTTCGAGGGACAGAAACAACTCCTGAACACAATGACCAAGGAGAAGCAGAAGCAAGAAACAACACTAAGATTTCTCAGTTAAGCTAAGCTGAGAGAAACGAAACAGAATGCAGAAAGCTTCCACCTTAACGAAGCTTCAAACTTACAGAAATGAATGGGAAGAGCAACAAAGGACAAACCTGGATCTAAACAAGAAGAGAGCAGAAGAAACGAGGAAGCTTCGGGTGTCAAGGGTCTGGCCGGGGAGCGAGGGAAAGAGGATACTTGTAATGAGCGGGTGATTCGACCCGCCTATTTCGGGTATATTTTCCGCCTTGTTTATGTGTATTACTGCGACTCGCTTCGGAATTGGCATCCCACTCCCCTACAGTTATGACCATCTTTAATTTTCTCAGGCTTTTCTTTTTTGCCCTTTTGTAAAGACAAAGTGTAATGATATTGGCTTGCAGTGCCATCGCATCAGCTGTAGCCCATGGTGGACCCGAAATGGATGACATCCCCATCTTCAGCTAATGACGATTCCCATCATTACCAGGAGGCGTTTTTCAGAAGAGTCAATAACAAGTCTTAGATCAATCCATCCATTATCCATTATTTCTTTAATTCACAAGTGTTTGGGCATGGAAAGAGGAAGCCTTTTTTTTTTTTTCCCTTCTTATTTGTTTTCTTTTGGCAACATATAAATTCATGAAACGGAAGGGAGTACAGGATTCAAGTAGACTCCAGGTTGGCCAACATGATGTCGACTGTGGAGCACTCGAGTTTTGTGCTGCTCTTTCCAACGCGAATGATGGCCCTTGTGCCCAACCAAACTGCTTCTTGCCTTCGACCCTTCGTTATGTCCAGTCATTTTATCGGAATGGACATTTCCACGATCAATGATCACCGCGATATGGATTTGAGATCGATATCACAACGTTTAAATTATTATTTATATTATTTATGTATGTGTCTATTTTGCAGGAAATAGGATATAATAGCAATCTGAGAGCGATCTTTCATTTTCTTTATCAAGCGAATGCTGATTTATCCATTGAATCTTCATAGATGATTGTTTTCGTTTTATTAGAATGCAAACATATCACGTTTAAATATGCGTCAATAATCTATAAAGCTGCCCCCGCGCAGGAGCAGCACAGAATCCTTACCCGTGGTAATCATGGCTTGGAGAGACAAGGCTTGCTTCGCAAGTAAAGAGGGGTATCCATCTTCTGGCGGTTCTCAATTATTAATTATTATCAGTGATCATGGGATAACTTCATACTGAGCACTGACCCGCTGCTCCAAGGTTGCCTCCAACCATCTTTAGCAAGTTTTTATCAATCCACGTTGATTGATAACATAACATCTCCCTGAAATACGCAACTATTTAGATATATAAAAAATAATTAATATATTTTTCACGTGATAACAAATTTATATGAAATAAGTCGAGGTGCTCCTATAAAAATCGATAACTTGTGTCGCATGTTGTTAAAATTTTGATTCCATGACAAATTAAAACTTCCATACGCAGCCAAATTTATTTTTATTCATAATAATTAGGTTTGTCGGCACTTTTATCAGGCTCATTTCGCAGACTTTTTGGGCTGGTTCTGACGGCTGAAGGGAAATTTGGGTAAAACTTGCACTGCAATAATTTGATCACGTTCTTTCCATTCCCTTTTGGATATTGGATCCCGTTTCTTGAATAATTAGTTGGGTTGCTTATCTGACTCCCATGTGAGATAAATCCGGCAGTTTTGGACCCCAGGCCCTCAGAATGAGCCCAAACTTAACAGGACAGATCATCGGGTGGCCCAACGCATCATGATCTGTCCCTCTCTCCTTCTCTCTAAACAACAAAGCTCACATTGCAAACTGGCCCATTTCATTTGTTGCCAAACAAGGCCCCCTTCAGAGCATCACAATTCACTAGTCGCCTCTTCCTGTTGCCTCTGCTCTTGGCTTTTCACTGAGTGCTTTCCTTGGGTACTTCAACTGGGAGCTGTAAGTACTACTATTGATCCTCAATTCGGAGACGCGACGAGTAAACTTTTTTCCTGCTAGTACACCCTCCTAACTGTGTTGGCCAAGGCAATTGCTAAAGCATGCCAAGCAGACTTCATTGGTGAGAAAGGCCCTCTGAAAGTGAAGCCAGTGCTCCACATGTCATTTTCCTTGATGAGCTTGCCTCCATTCCTTCTCACGTTTATTTTTTTAGCCTCGTCATACTTCTGAGTTGAAGGTTTGCTTTTAGCTCCAACTGATGCTGGAATTTTTTGTTATTACCCTTCTGCAAGGCATGGCAATATGCATATTTGGGTAATTTCTTTCATATATTCCTATGAATCCCATGAATCGTTAATCTCAGGTTTTCCTCGGAGAACAGTTCATTTGCTTCAGACGCCAAAAAGACTTGTGTGTCTTCCAGGGACACCTAGGCCTTGGAAGAGTCGTTCCTATATCTGTATGCGTTATCGAATAACTTATCAAGTGAATCACGCACTTGCACAGTTTAATTTTGTAATGCGAGTTGAAACAGTAAAATTTTAATGTTTTCAGGTGGACTCTGTTTGTGTGAGACGGTGAGGCTTGTCCAGACATGATGTGATGATGATATTCCTTGGAGATGCCCAGCTGAATGGCTCGCTTCTGTTTCAGCCGCATCTCTCTAAAGCTTGAGACAATTCATTATTTATAACCTTAGCACAAAGGATGCCAACCATTTGGTTGCCACTTACTGGCTTGCCCATCCAACATCTGAAAAACATTTTAATTTTAAATTAAAATTTCTCTCCCCATGAAAGTGAAGGAGAAGAAAAGAGGAAAAATATAAAACGGGGAGAGGTGTCTGTTTCTACTCTCTGCTTTTCCCGTCTCTTTTACCTTTTCACTTGATTTATATTATTATTACTGAGACAATTCAAACACATTTTGCTTGATCAATATTTGTATTGACCAAGCACTACGCATGCATAAATATATATACTGTTCCACTGCATATTTTTACTTTGCATTATTTTGTGTTTAACTTAAAAAGTGTGTATCGAAAGAAATACGAATTAGAAAGCCTTGTTTAGGGAGATAAAATCTAACAAGTCGTGAACACTGATAACAGAAGAAAGTCAACGACGAGCCTCCACCCATCTCAAAACAACGTAAATTCAGACATTGTGCAACCTAAATACATATACAACCCTTATTGGAACAAGCAGTATATTGATAAGGATTTGCTAGTTTTGGTGACTCGTCTGGGCATTACAAGCATATAACCCGATGCTTTCACAATCTCCCAGTCCCTATCCATGCCCATCGCTTAAAAGAATATAATTCAAATACATATCATCTCTCTGTTTTTGAACCTTTGGCTAATGTCTCATGCATTAGCTACCACATCAGAATCAGAAATCCTTCAAAACTGTGATCGGTGATACATGATATATATATATATATATCACATATTTAAAATAATTAAAAAAAAAAGTTCATACTTTTGAGTTTCTCGACCATATACAAAGGAAGTACTGTCCCTTATGGAGCAAGAGACGACGACGACGGCGACTCAAGGTTTCTTGGAATGCATTCGAGAGCAGGCTCCAGAGCTTAGTGTGTTATAGTTGACGAATCTGCTAGGAGCAGAGTTATGCCTGAACCCTTTTGGCAAGCAATCCTTCGCTTGTCTGCTTTGGAAGACTCTCTCTTTGTGATCCAACCTCGGCTTCAACAAAGTCTGGGCCTCTTGCGATGAAACTAGTGGTCTTGTAACTGTACTCGGAGCACTCGGGGGAATGATACGCCCACCCATGGCTATGTGTAGAGAATTGAGAGAAAGGAGAAGATAAAGGACCAAAAGAGAGAAGAAATATGTAGCAGACATTTAGATATTAGCTGATGTGTTCTGCAGTGAGGTGTGGGAGCGTATGAAAGAGAGAGGATAGTTTATATAAGAGGCTTTCATGCGAGACTGTGAAGGGCCTTCATTAATAGGCTCGTGAATGGATGCTGAAGGCAGATGTGCACAGCTAATTGCTAGTACGCCATTACTTAGGGGTTGTGGTGGTGGTGAGTTGGTGAGGTGGGTGCTCTACTTTTTGTCTCAGCTCCAAGTGAGGAAGCTCGTGAGTTCTTGTTATTACGCTATTTCAAATCTATTCTATGCTTCATCCCTGGGGAAACAACCCCCCCCCCACCCCAAAAAAAAAAAATCCAGGTCATGTGTGTCTTGTCTTCGTACGTATCTGCAATGACCACATACACAACACCCACGGGAAATTGGTTTTTCAAAAAGAAGGGGTAAAAGGTAAATGAAAAACTCTTTCTTGAGAGCCTCCTTTTCTTCCAGGTGTAAGCAATTCGGAGAGACGGTTCATTTAAAGAACATTGAAGAGCACATCAAATAATCTAGTTGAGGTCCTTACGTCTGCCTCTGTGGCCGGTCATCCGTCATTGTAAATAAAGAAATATAAGGATTTATATACCATGACAATAGCTATATACCATGCTCTGAATCAGTAACATCCCATTAAATCATTCGGTGAAGATAGAAAATAAGCCGCATCAATGCTGCTTTAATTAATTTGGGGCGTTAGGCTGTTAGCTTTGCTTCCCATCCACAAACCTGGGCTGTCTTCTTAAGTATCTATTTAATAGCAACCCACCCGCAAGTATGGCATATTAATTGGAATGGAAAACTCAGAGATCAAGAATGTCATAATGAAGAGCTCGATCGGAGAGATTCAATGTTGGAGCAGGAAGGCCTTATACTGGAGGCTTGAGAGGTTGTGAAATTGAAACACGCTGGAAGCAAGCTTGCAATGAAGCTAGTGAGGATCATAATTAGGCAAAACTAAAGAGGAATTACAAGTTAGATGGTTTGCTGGGAAGAGGATGAGCAAAAGAGGAAAGCAAGGAGAGGACATTTATGAAGGGGAAGATGCATTGAATATGAGCACCGAAGGAATGGAAGAAGCAAAAAAGATAGGGTTTGGGTGATTAAATTTCAGTAAAGAAAGGGGCGGCTATAGTAATGGGCTTTTTATTGCCATTGATGACGGATGAGAAATTTACCAAGAAAGCTCAGAAGCATTAGAGGCGAGCAAGATTCAGATCCGAAATTTACTTTCCTCACGGGAAATTTCACCCCATGTGTGGACCAATCTTACCCTCCATTTCACCCCTTTTTTTTTTTAAAAAAAAAATCCTTCTGTTTTATTGAGCCCACTTGGCCCATTTAGCCCAAACACTACAAATGCCCAGCCAACCTCCCCAGCATGTGTTGGTCTAAATGGAAGAGACTTAGGCACCTTAAACATTATGTCACGAGTTTGATCATTAGGATACTGTATATGGGACAAATACTGTTGGAAGGAGTCCTCATTACAGCACCTGACAGTACCCCAAGAAATTAGTCTCTCACCTTTCGGGTGGAAGGATACTCTGGACAAAAAAAAGAAACCTCCTCAACATGTTGTCAAGGCTTGACAATAGCAATATTGATGTAATAATTTTTCAGTAAAAAAAAATTAGAATTTGTTATTGTTACCTTTGTTCATCCCAGAAGCTGTCTTTCAAATCACCACTGTAAAATATTTTACAGGGAGCTCCACATTTGCTACATTTAGATCCCATAATTCACGGAGTCTGCTTCCATTTCACACAATTTTTTGTTTTAATCTGAAATAATCATCAAAGCTTAAAAATTAATTTATTTGATAGTTTGTGTTCCTGTTACGCGGAATCCACGTTCAAAATTATGCAAGTTTAATGAAGTTTGAGAAAAGAAAAGAAATTGTTTTTGAAAAATTTTAAAATATCACGAACTGAAAATAAAGCCTGAATGGGACGTTTTTACCTCAGCCGTGATTGTTGATGATGAGAACATTTTCTCACCTTTTGACTGGAAGGGAGTATTAACGACGTTTGTGCTTCCTCGTATATATATTCAATCAACGGGTGGAAATCATAAAATAACTAATTAACCGTTTACAAACTCAGCTCATCCACTCGAGTTTTGTCTGCTTCTGAAGAAAGAACCCTCCATGACGATGGTTGCTATGGTGAAAAGTGGAAAAGAAAATATTTAAAGACCGGCCCAAAAAAAAAATCCACGATGGTTGCTGAATTAAAGTGCCATCTATACGTGCAACTTGATTACCACAATACAGCAAAACCAAATAGGAAAAATAAAATGGTCAAAAGGGCCAAACGGTTTAAAAATTTGGAGGAAAAAACTAAACTTGCACAGTCATGAAACCCAAAAAGGAATAAATAAACAAACAAATAAATATGCAAATCCTGAGTGTAATCATCTTTCACAAACATTTGAGCCATTTGGTCCTCTTCACTGATATTCCCAACTAAATAGAACACTATTTCGGTATTTTCCTATTGCTTGTGTAGCAGTATCTGTTTTGTCACCATGCCATTCTCTGATTCTATTCATTTGACTTCGTATATTCTATGTTTCGCGGAAAGAGACAACAATTTCTACGCATGCGGACACACTCCTCAATAATTGAAGCCCCCTGGTATTAAAATATTCGGATTCATCCTTTATATAATAAATTAATAATTACTCTCCATGCATCGAGATCCACTTGAAACCAGCATCAGCCAACTGCCCCCCATAAATAAATCTCCGCATCTATCTCAGTTGACGAAACAAGCAAGTATATTCTATTCCCACGTTATATATATATATATATATATATATATATATTTATACTTGTAACAAAATTACAACAAGGTTCATTCATTCACTGAAAATGAAACATCCATTTTATACATATGTTTGGATGTATTTACATATACTTCCTCATTATTTGGGGGGTATGTGGTGATTTTAAAGCTGTAGTTCAGCCTTGAACTCGCCTTTCTCAAAATGATGAAGCCACCTCATCATTACAAGTATATGAAAGTGGACAGGCAAAGCAAATATACAGAAATACATAACAAGATCGATAAAAGTGAAGCGCTGAGTCGACGACTCGTGATCTCATTAAACTTGGTGAGTGGGAGTCGTGTTAGGTGGCGTTGGAGCAGAGGCAACACGCTTGCCTCTCTCAGAACGACTGTTCTCTGCGAACTTGAGACTCTGTTGGTGTAAGCCCTTCTCTCTCTCCTCTTGGTTCCATTCAGATGCGTAATAGTGTTCTTCTGTGGACTTGTTAACATCTTTAGAAGGAGGAAGGAACATGCCGCCCCACTGAGGGAAGTGAACGACACTCACCGGAAGTGTGCAGGCCACTATCATAACACCCATCCAGGACAGACCCGTTGAGGTCGACATTTTTGAGGTTGAGAAGAAGATCAACTGGGTTAGCCCCGACCCGAAGTTTCCACCTGCCCCGGTTAAGCCCGAGATAATGCCCAGAGAGCGCCTCGAGATGAAAGGGATGATGCCAAAAGTTGCGCCGCAAGCAGCTTGAGCTCCGATGGAGAATAGAATCATGGCCACGACAGCAAGGGGAAGAGAATTGGCCCGTCCAAGCCATATGCAGAAAACACCTCCTAGGGTTTGAAGAATCCAGAGGGTCCAAAGCCTGCCTCTCATCCCAAATAATCGAGCAGCGAGATCGGAAGCGTACCCGCCAAAAGGACGAGCAACAAAGTTAGCCATTCCGAATGTAGCAGCAATGATTCCAGCGGTGTGCAGCTTCAGATTGAACCTGCACTTGCGTTTGTTACATATTTGGACGAGTAAAAATATTTGAAACTATATATTTAGACCATCATAGAGTTGAGCAAGCTGACCTATCATAGAAATATTCGGCAATGACATTATCAGTGGTCAATTCAACTCCCATGGAGTACCCGTACAGCAGAGCAAAAATCCATGTCCTGTAATTCGTTATCGCATACCACAGCACCTGAACACGCACAATCGAAGGGCCAATTCAACATGTTTTCTCAAAAAGACATTATATTTTAAGGAGCATACGAAATAGTATATGTGCCTCAGCAATTTAGTATCTAAATCGAAGGAATATTTTTCTATGGAAAAAAGAAGGAAGACTAAAAACAGTTGATGGCTTGAAATATTTAGAGTATATCTTTCAAGGAACAAAGGAGTGTATGGGGGAATTCAAATTGAGGAGTAAAGAGATAGATGGGGTTACCTTGGAGAACTTGTCCTTATTGACATCACCCTTCTTTTGCAAAGCACCAAGGTTGCCATCAGGCAGGTCTTGGCCGAGGGTCAAGACGAGGATCCCCATGATGACATGCATCCAAGCAGGGACGAAAAAGGCAATTCTCCAGGCAACAAAAGGAGTAGATCCTGCTCTTTTGATCAATTCATACACCAGTGGCATTATAAGCTGGGTGGCCCCACCTCCCATGTTGCCCCACCCCGCTGCTGTCCCGTTCGCAAGCCCTACTATCTTACTGTTAAACATAGTACTCATCCAGTACTGACACGACACAAAAGTGGCCAGCGAAAACCCTATCAAGAACCTCATCGCTATGTAACCTCCAGCATCATTCACGAACGACATGCAGAACACGGTTGGCGCTGTGAGCATTATGAGAAAGGCACAGCCATAACGGGGGCCTAACAGGTCACAGACTGCACCCATCATAAGCCTAGAGAAGATGCTGCCAGAGACAGAGGCGACTCCCGCATTCCCAATGTCGTATTTGGTGAGGTTAAGGTTGTCACGGATTATGGGAACCAGAGGGGCTGCCGCGAAGGTTGAGACGAAGCAAGTGAAGAAGGAAATCCAGGAGAGGTGGAAGGTTCTCATGTGGGGATTGGCAAAAGAGAAGAGTTTGAAGACTTTAGCTTTGTGCTCAGAATCAACTGGGAGATCGAAGTTGGCAGTGTGGTCAGAAGGGACCATTGGGGAAGCAACAGACGATACGAAGGTTTGCTCTCTGCCAGTGACTCCATGCATGGAGCTTCCTGGAAATCCCTCAATCTCAGCCATTGAGAAAGGGAAAGTAAGAAGGAACTTAGTGGCTTTGAAATGAATGAACAAGTGTTAGTGTAGTGAAGGGGAGGGAAGGAGGCAGCGGTTATTTATAGGAGGGAAAGCGTTGACAATGCATGAGGCTGATGTGAGCCAATGGGAATCCCAACGGGTGACAGAAGGGTTTCTATATAATTAAACAGATTCCATTCCGCCGCATCTAACAGGGAGGAGACTCATCGAGCATCCCAAAGGTTCATTTCATCAACCCGATTCACAGAACCTTCAAACTTGACTACATATTTTTATTTCACTATTTTATGTAGTTACCCCAAAGAAGTATCAGTCTGTCTCTCCACGAGCGCGCAGGCTGTATTTGAGCTTAATCTACTTGTAATAGTTGTTCATTTTATTAATTTGAGGATAGCCTAATTCGCAAACCGTACGTAACTGATCTGACATGATGATTTTGGATCATTTTGATGATTCCTTGGCATGATTTTTGCTCCCATAAGAATCATAATTCGTGAGGAAGCCGAAGCAGAAATCTTCATTCGTGTTGTGTATGATTTAGGGTAGTTGGAAGCTAAGTGAATATACGAGGACCATAAGGATGGCGAGAGAAAAAGTGAAAAAAAAAACAAAAAGGGGTTATGATAATATAAGAGCGCTTTTGTTCCATGATTTCACATGCTATAGCTGGAACTGTATATCTTGGACGGTGAGATTTTATATTTTGGGAAAATGACGTGAGCTTGGAAGTTAAGATCCATAATTCATACATATTATATCAATCCAATATGACAAGTTGGTAGTCATATTGCTAGCTGCCACTTCGCGGCCAACATTCAGAGTTTGAGAATTTATATATAATAAGATACTACCATCGGTCTAACAAAATTTTATGAGTTTCAGTACTTGTATTTATAGGAAATAACATTTTGTCCAGAACATCTATTTTAAAATTTTTCTCTTTTATTTTCATCAAAAACAGTATTTATCAATAAACTAGCTATTAATTCAGATTACTTTTAATTATATTTATTGATCCTGATAAACTAGTTATTTTTCTTTTATTAAAAAATTGAGTAGCGCACAAAGCAGCATGTAAGATTGTAAGTCAACCAAAGCGGTTTTGATCAGCAAGTTATGCATAAGCCCTTCTTACATTTTGAGTTTTAGTACTTTTTATCATTAAAATTAAAATGTTGTTTCTACTAATTAATTGATACTTGAATTACAAATGATAGTGAAGTTAATGAAAAACGAAATATATATAAAGCAATGGTCAATACTTTTCAATATTTTGGATTTGAATTTATCGATGACTACAAAATGATAAATTTTAATTTTTTGAAATATCTTTTTTTTAAAAAAATTTACATGTCAATCATGTAGGCAGTTGACCAAAAACAATAAAGAGAAAATCACTCTACGACACCAACACGTCGCATAAATTATATTTCAGGACCACGAAATTTTGAAATTCTAATAATAAAGAACCGTAATTAAGTCATCCTTTTTCTTAAAATGTTATAGGTTAAAAGTCAGGAGACTGTTTGCTACTTACTACATAGCCAGTGGTAAATTGTATAAGAAAGAGATGATTGTCTCTCCTTTCAATTATATTATTAGATATAAACACGCACGCGTTATTTAAACAATATCGTTTATCTTCCATGATAAAAATTGGAATATTGTTTACAAAATTTTCATAACTATGTATCAAATTTTAGAAGATCGAAAACATTCGTTTAATTCATACATATGGTTGTATGAATTTGATACACGTAGTCCACAATTCGCCTTTAAAAAGAATAATATTTTAAGAAGAATGATGATCAAGTATTTGTTATTATTATGAGAAAGAAAAGTATCAAGCAGTTTTGGCCCTTCATCAAGAATTTAAAATATTTGATCCCTGAATTATAATTAATTTAATAGATTGGTTTCAAGGGGCCATCGTCTCAAAAACAAATTCAAATAATGAGGTCATGGGCTTGTGCATCCACTTAAACATTTTAATTAATTGCATACGAAACCGTACATGTAAGCTCAAGTTGTCTGTGTCATTAGGAAATAACTGAAAGTTGCAGAAGCTGATGGCGTCACAAATCCTTTCATGATAAGCTCAACTTAGCCTTTCATGGCCTCATAGAGCTCTTTGCTCTATTAATTTGGGCTCATCTGTGTGGACACACACGCACTCTTCTGACTATCTCATGCTCCATATCCAAACCGCTACTTAAACAATAATTGAAGTTTAGGAAAAGAAGGATGGCCGTCGCCGTAAGAGGGGTCCCACTGAGTATTCAGAAAAAGAAAAATCCAAGTTCGAAGACTCTCTGAAGTTTTGTGGCTGAAAATGGTTGCCAACCACGGCCACTGTTGGGTCAACTTTCTATGTGCTTATCTGTGGATATGGTGTTTGCATTTTATAACTACTATTCATTCCGCAATTTATGCAATTGCATCCTTATCTGTAGCTCTTATTAATTTTATTGATTTAATGCTGGTATTCATGCAGTTATTTTCTGTTTGATATTACTCCTCTGATTTTTAATGTATGACCTAATTATTGATTTAATTTTCATCCTAAATATAAGACATATTTCTCATATTTATTAATTTTTTCTAAATTACTTCTATGAATATTTCCTTAACCATAATCAAATAAGTGAGAAAGAAGAGATATTAAGAAAAATAATTACAGTGTTTTTTATTATTATCTTTTGGCAGATAATTTGAAGTTTTTAGCGGGTTCTAGTCACAAGATCAATAATATATCTCATGTCGATGGTTAGGAGGCTGAATTTTGTTTTTGGGGGGGGGGGGGGTAAATAGTGATAATTTTTATTTTTGAATGAAGGATCCTTGACATTCTGCTCTGCTGGATATGACACATTAGCCACATACACTTTGGATTATACAGGGCGGAGGCCGCCCGCACTCCATCACGTCACGTTTGTACTTTGTACTAATCAACAGCTTCACATTAATTACGGGATTAATTATATATATACATCATATCCTGCAATTAGATTATGTTTTCCTCAAATTGAAAAACACACACACATCTAGTTGCACTTGCACCTGATTGCCTGTCGAGAATTGAGATAGTGGTTATATTCTGCCGTAGCTCCGTTTGACTTACAATTACAACAACGGAGCATGAGTCAGTGACGACATATAGATAACTGAAAATACAATAATTTTGCTGAGGCATCAAGTCGAGAATCGTGCTAAATTTGCGGAAATGATCATGGACTGAGTATAAATAAAATATTATAAATTTCCTCTTTTGAATCTTGAATCTCCGTAGCGGATCTTATCAATTGGACAAACTTTAATAATAGAAAGCCTTCTTTAGGACACGAGTGAGAGAGAGTGAAAAGCGCAACAAGCGGAAGGAAATGAAGGCATGCCAAGTACTAACATCGTGCAACACTGGCAAAAGCTCAAAACATTGCCACAAAACATTGAAACAGGATAAACATTTAAATTACGGAGTACCCTGACATGATCTGAAGAACTTCAACTGCTATGGACAACAATTATATTTTCCCGCTAACCCGGATATTTAGTCTATAATATCTAATTTCAATGCAGCCGCATTACAAACGAACACGGCTGAAGGGCAGTAATCACTATGTGCATATTAAACGCTTGTACTTCCCCTTCTGGGGACCGGTTTGTAAAGCACAACTGTAACAAATTTAGAACGGAAGCGATGAGTAAATCCCAGTGCCAACACGGATCTTGGGGCCTCACTGTTCTCAATATAAAGATGATTCAAGATCACATTTTCTGGTAACGGTAGTGTTCCCGAAGTGTCTCTACTAGCAGGATAGCTGAGTAGAGTGTGATGCAAATGGGGAGGGAACATAGGTGGATCTCGTGTTTCATCATCACTACCAGGGTACGCGTTGTTATAGCTCGAATCAGGTGATTTTGGAACTTCAAATCCCGCCACAGTTACTTCACCCTGCGGGTAGGTTATACCTTAGACCAACTAATGACAGGTGGGTGCTATAATTATCAGGAACGAATCACTTACATGGTCTTCAGTTGATGAATTGTTCATCTTGCAAAAGGAACCGACCACTAGCAGTGTGTGCGCATCAATGGAACCGCAGCTAAGATTCTGAGAAGCCTGAAGAATACCAATTTCGCCTTTGTAAGCATGCAAAATAAACTTAAAGAACAAGTTCCTGAGCTACGTCCCAAGATAATTGCAATGCGTCTTGTGAACCCAAAACAATAAAAGCAAGCAAGGTTTATATTTTATAACAATTAAGAAAAAGTTGAACACCCCATGTTACATAACAGTGATCAAGTGCTAGGTGAACACAAATTGTTTCCCATTCCCTCGATACATAACTTACAAATCTCCAGCTAAAATATAGATTTAAACCCCTGGATTCAGCCATCACATGTAAGTGGGAGAGGAATAGAAAATGCTTTTCCAGTAAGCCACCTAGACTCCATTAAGTAAAAGCTTTAGTGTATATCAGCATACCGAGAAATTCCTCTTCATGTCTCAAAAAGTACAAGCTTTTCCTCATATTACACCTACTAGAACTTCTCATTAGCTTAAAAATACTTGATTGGCGAATAAACAATCAATCTATAAGAACTTTCTTAATTTATATAGTTCCGCCATAGTTACCATAAGACCAATTTACGAAGGATGGGCAACATGAAATGACATTTTCCCAATAAAGTAAAGGATCGAAACAGAATAAATCAGGATTTACTGAGTTAAGATCAAATCAATCTGCCAGTAAGTCTGCCATCACTTAGGGACTCGTTGCTTCAACTGAGGACATCAAACCCTGCAGTCTACGACTGAAATCCCCAGCAAGTTCCATTTTGCTAAATGTGATCCACAAACAACTGTTTTAGTATTTGATTTGAATATTATGAATATATTTATCTCATGCCAAACTCAAATTTCAAGATAATTCTATTCCAAGCCAAATGAAGCATTCACTGCTATTAAGGATATGATAAAGTTTATACTAAAAATCTAAACACTATGAAAAGGTAAAGGCAAATACAAGTATACAACTCATCAGTTAAAGTCTTGGGTCTTTTGATAAAATTAATGGTCATAAAAAATTATGACAATATGGGATTGGAATTAGAGAGAATGAGGGTACCGTAAAGTACGCAGTTAGAATATTAATACAAAGGCTCATATCTTATCTGACAAGAAGTAAGATAACTGGGGGAAAAGATAGGCACAAAAAAGAAAGAACTAAAGATACATCCAGCCGAATGAAACAGCATAAAGCATATCGAAGGACTCGATCATGTCCATGGACTCCCTATCAAAGACTTCCCCTAAACTGGCACATACAGGTGTGCAGCCCCAGCCCCCAGTCCAATTGAGAACGTAATCAAATTCAGATGAGCCCCTGAATTCTCGAATTAGGGGATCAGCATAGAAAGTAAAATGCACATAAAAAAATTTCTTGGTAGAGAAATAAAAGCAAATTCTCAAGCAAGCTAAAAAATTTGAGCGACAGAAAGTCAGGAATATGAAGGGAAACGTTATTCTGCGTGATACAGTATCATTCACTGGAAAAACCAAATTCCATGAATGAAGAAAACATGATTCAAAAGTGAATTACCTGATGAGAGTCAGGTTCGAACAAATAAGCCGCAAGAATAAGATAAATGGAGGAATTTTATGAAACCTAAGGTTTATCTGTCAAAAAATAAAAGGGCACGATGCAATAGTGAAAGAGTTCATAAATGGAGAAATACTAACAATCAGAGAACAAGCAATCAGAAGGAAAACCCGCAATGGCGCACGGAAGTTGCAGAAACCAAGCCGGGAAGCTGCGAAAGAAACGAGAACGAAGGCCTCCCCCGAAACAATAAGAGCAAAGCTGCACGACGAAATGGCACTTTCCAGAACACGATGATCGTAGGCCTCGGGTTTCCCTGATCAGTCCCCCGGCAACTTTAATTTCGGCCCAATAAGGCCCAATACTAAGGATCAATACTCAGCCACGCGTAAGAGCAAAAATTGAAACTGGAAAAAAGTGAAAATGACATTCGAATGCCTGATGAGAAAGGGAAGATGACATTGAAAGCCTAATTATTACAACTTTTATTACAATCAAGTACCGTGATTTTAGAAATTTGATTAGAAATCCAGATCTTTAGTTGTAATTAACTTTTTCTGAACAAATACTTCAAGATTCGTCTTTCGATTTTTAATTCAACTTTCATTTTTCGGCATTCATGTTCAGTTTTAATTTTTTAATACTCGTTTTTAAAATTTTTAATACCGAAAAGAATTAAAATATTTGCTGAATATTAAAGATAAAATTTTAATAAAGAAAGAATTAAAATATTTGCTGAAATAGTAGAGATAAAATTTTTAATACCGAAAATAATTAAAATAATATTAAAGATACTAAAAGTAAGTACTGAAAATATCAAAATAACGTAATAAAAGCTGAAAATAAGTAATTAGAGATGTTGTTGAGAAATTTAATCCCGGGGAAGAGTCTTGATCTTTCATCTTTCTTTATAATTTTTTAAAGTTAATAATATTAAACTATAATTAATATCCTTGGGAATTTATTAGATGTCATTTTCTCAGTGAGTGACTACTCACTCGTACCCGACCGCACATTTGTCTGTTTAAACGCAAATTATTTAATTTAATATTAACTCTAATCCTAAATATAAAAACTAGTTAACTAATTTAAGTAGATTAAAAAATAAATTAAATTAGTTATTTGTAATAAGTAGGTATTATTTTTCTTAAAATATTTTTGCTAATCAAATTTATTAGTTAAAATTACTATTATTAGAAGAATCATTTTTAAAAAAGATAGATAAATATGAGTAACAAAATAAAATAGTCTTATATTTTAAATCAAATTAAAAATTAAATGAGATCTTATATTATATTAAGCATCGGAGCAGGTAGTATAATATTTTTCTTCCTTTCGTCCAGTTTAGTGCCTATATCAACGCCGTTGATTGATTAAATGCAACATATCTTCTTTTTTTTGCCTTTGTTTTTTTTTTGGGGGGGGACAGGGTGATTTATAAAGGGAAGCATAATTTTGGCCAAAAAAAAATAAAATAAAGGGAAGGATAAAAAGCTTATATCCTCGTTGATCCTAAATATAAAATTTATTTTATAATAGAAAATGTAAAAGACAAAAAAGGGAGGGAAATCGAATTGAGAGAATAGAAAGAAGCCGTGCAACTATAAGGGTACATTGACGGGCTTACACTTGCAAACAACTCCCGGGGGGGTCAATTGCACATAACAGCGTACTTCTTAAAAGATTAAAATGGTAATAAATAAAATGAGGAATTACACAGTTCAAACAAAGATATTTATGGAGTGTTAAAGCAATTTAAATTTCGACGCTATATAGAAACAAAAGTGTTGGAATAAAAGAATTTAACCTGGACATCTCAGGTGTTGGGAAATAAAGCTAACATTTGGATTCAATTTTGTATATATTAGTTTTGGCCAAAATTTCGTACATATTATACTAAGTCTGTTTGGGATAAAAGTAAAAATCTCTTATGAACATATTTTACATAAATCAAAATAAAATCTTTTTATATACTTTGTAAATCATAATTAAAAAAAATCTTTACACTGTTTCAAATCAGTCCACTGTTAGTTCTTCCCAAAAGAACATTATTGTGCGTAATTTGGATAACAAATGAATAAATTATGAGAAGTAAGGATGGGAGGGACAGGACTGACAGGGGAAGCGTCAGTGTTGAGGTTTTATCCCGTCAGGTGGTGACGTCATGGAGGGTGAATCTCCGATTGACAGGTTGGATCATCTCCATTCTCCAATGCCCTTTTGCCCTCACTTGCGCCCCTCCGCGAGCGATCCACGTATACGGTATCTAGTCCACAGACTGCTTTACACACAACTCAATAATTTGACAATTTAATTTTGAGATGTTTGGATTACTGAAAAAAATACTTTTTTATAAATTAAGATAAAATTTTTAGTATTTATTTTATATATTATAAAAACACTTTTAAAATTATGATTTTATTTCTACTTAAATACTTTTGCCTAACTTAATTCCTTAAGCTCTCTCCCCAAATCTTATTAATTTGTATACAACTTAATTTTTGAACGCAGGTGAATCAATTTATTAAATAGAAAGAATTTGAGGAATTAAGATGGAGGAGTAAAATTTCAGGCGAGATTATTAACTAATTAATGATGCTTTTTTCGACATATAAATAATTGGAGGGGTTGAAATGATGGAAAGAATAATTAAAAAATGCAGGGGGTGTCACGTGGGGGAGCAGGGGAGAGGGACCCGGAGGGCACGTGATGGAGCGGAAGGCAGGGTCAGCAATGCTGTCAGACGCAGCGTCAGCCTCAGCCTGAGGCTTTCCTCCATTATCAGCACCCTGCTTCCACCGTTTCAGTATTTTTGTTTCTTTGATCGCTCATCCCCCACCCCTTTTTTTCACTGACAGTGTGTGTGACCAATTAAATTAGAAAGTTCCCGTGAAATTTAGAACCCTCACCAATGTAACACTCAGTTGGGTAAAACCGACAGAATACACACACACACACACACGAGCCAATCTTTGTGTGGAGGTCTGGCAGTGTGTGTGACCAGGTCATGGAACCCTGATTTGGCTGTGTTCGCGGTTCAAGTGTTTGCCCTCAGAAACGGGCGATGAAACGTGAATGAATGCAAACGAACTCACTCTTAGATGACTAGAGCGAAGGAATTCGTGAATTAAGGGCGTAAACGAAGTTCGCGCACTGAATGAAATAGCAATTGGAGTCTCCGTTGCAATGAAATGCATGGGTTCATCTGCACCAAAGGACCATGTAGGAGTTAAGTACGGTCTTCAATATAAATACATAATCTCAATTATTTTGTTACGTATATTTATTATTTTTTAAAATTATTCTTACTAATAATAAAAATAATTTTATAAAAATATTTTAAGAAAATCAACATAAGTTTTTTATAGATAAAGAATTTAACTAACTTTTTTAATATATCTAAAGGAATTTCATGAATGTTATCATAGGGATTTTTTTGGACCTGAGTTACTGTGTCTATAAGGATTTGAAGGAGCCTGTGTTAAAGGGTCAATACCGGGTTGATGTCGCCTGGGGATAGGTGAAAGGTTTGTAAGGATGAGAATTAGCTTTAAAAATAGGTTTTTAAAAGTATGAACGGGAAGAAAAGAGAAAGGGTTGAGGTAATGGAGGCCGAGGTGATGGTGAGGAATGAGATAAAAAAAAAGAGAGGCGGAGAATATTTGATGGTGGGATGGGAGTGGATGAATCGATGGGAAAAAGCAAAGAGGTCGCATCAAATTGTACGGACTGGGCCATACTCCCCTCAGTCAATCCGCCCTTTCACACTACTCAAATTCACAAATATTTCTGGGTTACAGAATTAAACTTTTCGATTTCATCTTTTTTTTTTTTAAAACATGAATCACCATCCCATCTTTACCAACGTGAAAATCATCAATATGAAGTCAAATATATAACATTGACGAGTAAAGTCTAAAGTCAAGATAGAACACAGGCTTATTTTGATTAATTAATATTAGTAAAAGTTATTTTTATTTCAATTGACTTTTGAAAACTGAAATTAAAGCGAAAATCAATCATCACAATCTAATTTATATTTTGGTAGAATTTTATAAAAGAAATTAGATTTGAAAAAAATTTGTTTGAATTATATATTAAAAAATTAATTTCATCGTTTCATTGCTCTTTTTTTTATCATATACATCCCATTATTAATCTTTCTTTTTGTTACAATTGATTTTTCAGATTTTTTTTATATATCCTCTTGTTAAAGGTAATCTTATTTAAAGTACTATCAGGCACTAAATAAAAACGCTTTTTCTAATAAAAATTTAAATATTACTCATCCGTTCCTTTAATACATGACCAATTTTTAAGTTGGTTTTGGTCTTAAATATAAGACCCATTTGTCATATTTATCAATTTTCTCTAAATTATCCATATAGATACTCCATCAAACATAATCAAATAGAAGAGGGAAAGGGGGTGTAAGAAATATGATTATGGTATTTTAGAAAAAATACATTACTTTTCTTCCATTAACTAACTTACCAACTTTCTTAGTTTAATCAAATTAGTTAAATAAATTTTATATTAATAATCGGAGAGTAATTCATTGTGTTGTGAGAGACCAGTTATTTTCATGAGTTTTTATGTGATAACGAGGACAACGTGCGTTTAGTTTTATGAACAGGGAGGACGCAAACGCGTGGTCTCTCAACTTGTGTGGGGAGACATGTATTTGGACATACCCATCAAGCCGAAGCAACGTCCAAGCACAACGTTAGAGGGCATTGTGATTCCAACTTTGTGGCTGGCTTAGCCATTTGAGGGGAATCAGGATGTCCTCTTTCAACTGCTGTCCCTTTTCACTCTGCATTCTTAAAATGCCAATTTCTCTGTGAGTCTCTATCGTTATTCTCACTTTGTAAAAAATAATCTATTGTATTTTTTTTTTATTAAAATACATCCTGGTACTGTTTGCTATAAAGTATAAAACAATAAAAGACATGTATCGTGATGTGATTAATATTGCAAAAATAGTATTTAGTATAAGAGATTATTTATTATGGAGACTAAACAAACTTATATTATATGAGATTAAGGATATCATAAAGGAAGTGGTAGTATTCTCTAATCCTATTTTATGGGTTGCCTAATCCATATAATAAGTAATTATTCAAACAGGACCTAATATCACACGCTCTAAACAATATTATCAACTACATTAAAATTTATTAATAAGTGTTTAACATATCAAAATTTGAAAGAAAAGTCGTAGGAAATTCAAAAAAATAAACGGAGGTGGATAAAATATATACTCCTCGGTCGTCTAAAAAGTTGTTGTATATATGCTTTTCTTTTCAATTTTTTAATACTGATATAAGAAGCGTCACTTGTAATTTTATTACGTACTGTTTCTTAAAGATCAATTTCGATATATAATTAGTGTTTATATACACATAGAAGTTGTTGTAGAAAGTGAGAGATTATTTATCAGTCTAAAATCTAAATGGTCATATTCCACTGCCCCTGGTCCATAGTATAAAAGGTCTCATAGAAAAAAAAATTTGGTTCAAAATGTAAGAGAGATTAACAGGATAATTTATGCTAATTTTTAACTTTCACCCATTATTACAATGAGGAAAGAGGGTTTTAAATACAAAAAAAAGATATAAAAAAATTTCAATCACAATTTTAAATAAGAGTGAAATATATAACTTTTATTAATTTCAAATATATTTAATGATCGTGTATATAAGTGAGTGGAGGGGAAGTACTTCTCAAGCCTCTTTTGTCCTGGACCGTAAATGATTCTTTCGTGAGTGGGACGTTCATGGAAGTCATTAATTAGGGTGTCTGACCGATTCCTCAATACCATCATTTGTTACAGCGATACCGGGTTAGCGTAGGAGTCCGTTTAGATCAATAGTAGAAAAAAAATAATTATTTTTTTTTAATTTTTTTAAAAATAAATTAGAGAATATGAAAGTTAGTTTTATAAAGTACAAAAAATTGTTTGACTTATGGTTAGATAAATAAGTTTTGTTTGCATATATATGATTTTTATTAAATAATGAAAACAATTAAAAATATGAATTTACAAAAATACGATAATTTTAAATTATTACAATTAGAAGAAATTATATTTAATGAATAATAAAATATATTTAAATTAGAAATCATAGTAATGTTAAAATTTAAATCAAAAATATTGCATAATTAATAGGATGATATACTCTGCCACATTTATGTAAAATGTAATATTAAAAATAATATAAAAATTAAAAATTATAAAAGTTATGTTAAAAATTATTTTTACTTAAGAAAATATTAATAAAATAATAGCTAAAAATTGATTGAGAAGTGCAAGAAATACCGAAGATAGGAGCATAAAAATATAAATATGAGGATAAAAAATATTTTTTTAATTTCAAAAGTTGTTTTTGCGTCATGATATAAGTTTCAGATATTTTATAATCATGTTAAGAAAATAACTTTGAACTCATAAACCAAATAAGTTAAAAATTATGACAGACAGCTCTCAAATTCACAGACTGACCCGTCATTCTTTTAAACTACTTTTTGCCCATAAACGCTCAACCAAACAGGTTGAATATCTTCATCATTACGTCACTCTTTGTAATATTATTATTTATTAATCGTTTAGTCCTTCTGCAAGCCGAGGTACTGGTGGGTGGTCATATTTCAGCAGACTAGAGAGAATAATTTCACCGCATTCCCCGTCACCAGTTTTACTTTGGGAGCGAAAGCCTTTGATCTTCACACAAGCACCCTTTTATTAGCAGTCACAAAATTACATGAAGTCCCGTATAAAAGAAAATATATATTATTATTTGTAAGTCTCAATAAAACAATAACAAGTGAGCATATATCATTTATTATCAGAAAACTTGTAATCACAAACTATTCTATTGTTATTAATTTTTTTTAATAATTATGTTTTTTATTTAAAACTTTATGTTCATTCTCCCAAATGTAGAGTTAGATATATTTGTCCTCGGCATTCTATGGATTCATCAAAATAATTCTTTCAGATTTTACGAGATTCACTTCGTTTCAATTCTAATTCAATTTTTTTTGGGTTTTATAAGTGGTTTTTTTTTGTAGAATAAACTCTAACCCAAATTAAAATGAATTAGTTAGATTGTTTGACTCAATTGACACTTTTTTTTGGAGTTTTATTTAAATATCGTACTCATCTTAGGAGGGGAATTCAAACAAATAAATGGTTTTTAGAATAATGAATTCAGTAAATAAGAATTGATATAGTTAATAAGGAGTTGGTTCGCAATCTACATAATCATGAGTTTGAATTTCACTGTCAATATGAGAACATTATTGATGGGTGATCTATAAACACTCTCTGAACCTAAAAACATATTTTGGCCCTGATAAATCTCTGAGACCTAACTTACATAGACTTTAAAATTAAAAAATAATTAATGAATCCTGACTTTATCCATTGAATCAATTTTGTCGGAGCACACTTTACTTAAGAGAACTAATGATTATTGTTTTTTTAAGATAAATTTAATATGCTATACTGATATATGTAAGCAATAAACACAGGTGTGGTTCTCTAAGCTCTAACGTTGATATGCGTATTTTCGGCCATAAAATCGCTTGTGTGTAGTTATAACTTCCGTCTTCTGCCACTTTTGCTGCCATAAGTGTAGGCGATACTATGGCCAGTAAAAGGAGTCAACTAAGGAGATAAACCTTAAATAAACACTAGGGCTTGAGGGAAATTAAGATGTGCCATAATACATCAGGTGCAGTAGGTATAGATACAGCTAAGCTTCAACCAATGGGAATAAAGAGGAAGCAGAAAATGGGAATAATTTTTTCCACCAATGAAGCAACCCGGTGCCCTCTTTCCTCGGTATATATAATAGACGCCTTCTCTTCTGCTACTGTTACCATACCAAGTCGCTCCTTTCTCTTCCTGCTCTTTCTGCAGCTGAGGCTTAGATCTCTGGTGTTTTCCTTCATATTTATGTGCTATGCTTATATCTGCACCTTTCTTCATCCTTCAGGCTCTCCTTCTTTCTGCCCACTTCCCTTACCTGGAGTTAATATTTCCTCGATGGGACTGTTTCTTTAGGTTTCATGCTATCCCCAGCTTCTTCTACATCTTCTTCGTAAAACACTATAAAGGAACGTGCTCATCCGACACAGTCAAACTCTGGTCTAGCTGGCTTTGAATTAATCCCGTTCAAGTCTTCATCGATCTTTTGTGTTACTGCAAGTATTCATTTTTGTCTCTGAAGACTTTTTATTTTTTTTTTTTGCTTTGATTTGTCCTAGAGAGGTTGGGGTCTCCCGTGGTAGCTAGATTCCTTCCGGATCACAAGGCCTCGCACGTGTTCCAAACATGTTTGAACCACTGGATATAGGCCACATAGTAAAAAAATCTGCACATAAATCTATAGTTAATTGCCCTTGTTTCTCTGTTCCACTTGGTTCTGGTGTCCCTTTTCTGAACTTCTCTTTTAACCCGGTGATGAAGACCTATTTAAATTTTCGTCGATGCCATATATATGTGTTCTTTTGGATGAAAATGAAGGGAAGCAACAGTTGCATGGAGGGCCTGTCAGTCGTTGTTTGCGGATGTAGCATCATCAAGATTCACAAGCAGATGCGGGTACGATCGATCTATACTGATCTCTGTGAGTGCCAAAGCCATAGTCCTTTGGAAGTGAGAATCTTGATGATGCTGCATCGGCCATAAACGGCTTTAAGGTAAACTATGGGCACTATTGATTAAAAGGGAAAAGATAAAAGGTAGAGAGGGAGAGGCACACATAATTCAGACCTTCAAAGACAGTGTCTGCTCCGCACAATTAAATATCAACAGGTGACTCTTCCCACTTTCCTTTCTGTCGTTGTCAGGTGGGATTTAATTATATTCTCATTTCCAATTCAACTAATACCAATTTTTTTAAATGTTAATAGTGGCACATCAACGGATGGCCTGGCCTCGCTTCTTATGCTTTATTTTTACACGATGTATAGCTCTCTTCTGCCTTTGCTGCAGACAATCCTAGGTTATCAGATGCAGCTATTTTGCAGGCTGATCGGTTAAGTGGCTATTAGGTCTTTTGCGTGCTGAGCGACTTCACAGATCTATCATATATTTATATCAGAAATATAGAATGTTTCAGTTTCCTGATCCAGGCCCGGAGAAATCGCTCCACCTAAATTAAGAGGGATTTAGAAATTGATCAGGGAGAGAATTCAGATCTATTCTTGAGGTGAGTACCGGCTACTCTATACTATTATTTTTATCTTTCTGATTGGCAGAGAATTGGCTAGTGCTGATTTGCATACTAGTTATGCTTAGTAGATGATGATGCTTTATGGATTTAAGTTATCTTTTGATTCAGATTCTGTATATCTGTGTGGCACTACTAGTTTTCTGGGCTTTTGGGGGATCCTGTCCTCGTCACACCTGTGTAACATGGAATTATTATATTGTATAAAGTAGAAATTAAATATTTCCGTTTAAGTAAAACAAAACGGGATATTCCTCCAAATGGTTTTGCGTCCCCGTAATTAAAAAGAACATTGTAAGTTGAAGCCGAACTTGGGAATTGGATTTGCAGATGCCAAATCACGGACATTTTCTTAAGTCGATGTGTTTCCCGATCCACAGGTTGGGTTTAGCATGCACCAATAATAATATGGGACATGCTTTTGTTGGGTCAGGGGTGGACCAGCACAGCCAGATGGAGATCATATATAGTTGGATGCTCTGTGTTAGCATATACTCTATGAAACGTACGTATGGATGAGATATCTCTCAGTTCTTGTATATTATTCACCTTTTGAATTTAGATGTGCATATATTGTGCTAAAAAATAAAAATAAAAATGTCTTTTCAAGCATTATACACCTGTGACTGTGTGTGTTCAGTCTATTCAAGATCATGAAAATCTGTGTGCACCCATCACTCTCTACTCTCTAGCTAGCCTTGGTTCACATATTCTTCTGCGCTTAAGACGGTTTTGCCTTGCATATCGTATACGTTTCTGTGACTCTAAGCACACCCAAATGTTGAAAAGTAAAAACAGTGGAAGAATATAATATGTAAATATATAAGGTCACCGACCATAATCCTCAAATCTTCTCGATCATAAATAGGGCAATATCTAATGTTTTTTCTTGGATTTTTGGTATCCAATATGCATTGGATGACAGTGTTGTCTTCGTGATATTCAAGGGCAGCTAGTTATATGTTACCATCATATTTGGAGCAATATTTTTCGCATTTAGGTCATGATACTAAGTGGTATTATTTCAGGAGTGGGCTTTTAGATATAAGCTGAGTCAAATAATTAATACAGTGGTTGGTCTGAATGGAGTACATATGGTCACAGGGAGCAGCTTGCACAATCTTTTAAATTGAGTGGTCTCTTCTGAACTAATCGAGTACTCTGGCAATGCCATCAAACACATGCACTCTTTGTGGTTCCCAGATGTTTAAGTTGCATGTCAGCAATTCAATGATTCAAGAATCCAAACATATATATGCACATTTCCTCATCGTGGTAATTGGTAAAGTCAGTACATGCATGAATGGTGCAACTTTTCTCAGGACTTCGTATGCAGAATTCAACTGTCCGTACACACTTGTTAATGAGAGCTCATCATATATATATATGCAATATATTAATTGTTGGTTATGTTTATGTGTGTTGTATTAAATTTGTAGGTCTTTTGTGGTTAAGTACTTCTGCATGCAATAGAAGCAATTAACCGTTGAAGATAACAATTGCTTTACTGCTACACGTAAGCACATCGAATAGTATTCTGGATATAACAACATGTATAGATCTTATTCGTTCACAAAACATTATTCCCACACAGCCTTATCTGTGTGTGCGCGTATATAAAGGCTGCGATGCATGCAGAGCGCATTTGAACTGCTTACTTGGCCCCATGTCGTTTGATGTGATGATGAGATTGTGACTATTGGTTACTGAAAACCCATACTCATAGTTTTCAATGAAGACTGGTTAATATTTCATCGTGATCGCGTTGCAGAGGTAGCTAGCTAACTAGATAAGCTGATCGGACGTTTGGCCTCAAAAGGGACACGTCCACATGCCTCGATTTTCTGCATTTGGTGCATTGATCCATCATCTAATAACCGGTGAGTATTAACGAGATCATGGACCACAAATGGGATGCTTACAGTCTGTGCGTACGTAATTCTATTTTGCTGGCCATGCAGGACTATAACTTTTATAAATAAGATGGCATGATAACTATCGCTGGTGAGAAAGGAACCTTTTGTTCTCTGTATTTGTGATGGATTCTGCTTATGCTGCATATCAGTGAGAAGGACAATTTAAACTATGAGATACATATCCTCCTAATTATATAACCACCAGATTCTGAGTTTTCAATCAGCTATGCCAGTGGTTTCCACAATTCTCTATTTTCTTTCCTGTGAGGTTTGCTTTGCGCACCCCTTTTTATTTGCTGATGATGAGCTTTGACAGGTTGTGCTTCGTTACCCTTTTGAAGGCACCAAAGCCTTCCCCCCATAATCACCATATTTTGATGCAACCTCGATCAGACAGAGCCTAGCGTACAAGTTGAACAATATCACAGGCTTAGACATGGAAAACGAGGAGAAAATGAAAGAGCACCGTAATGGTGGGGGGTTTGAAATAATGTCGTACATGCGCAGATGCAAGCAGGGATGGCAGAGATGGAGCCAAGAATGTAACGTAAAATTTAATGGGCTTCCACGATGCAGATAAAGTGCTGGATGAATGATGAATGGTGTGTGAGAGAGGAAGAAAGAAAAGGAGAGAGAGAGTTTGAGTGAGAAAGAAGAAGAGGGAGGGAGATGGGAAGGGTTTTGGGAATTGGTCCCCAGTGGCAGAGAACGGCAGGCTGGGTGGGTGTACATGTGGCAGGCATGCAACTGAAGGACAGTGATGGACCCCATTCGCTAGATCTTTTCAGACAACACAATCCCTCCCTGTTCCCCCCACATTTCAATAATTATTCTGCCCTCACTCCCCACCCCACTCCTTCCCTTCCCTTTCCCCTTTTCCCTTTCCCCATCGAGTAAACCATTATTTGCACTTACAGGACTTCTTTGTATTCACAACTAATAAGTACGTTTATATAAATTGATATAAATTTTTTTACATATATTTATTTCAAACAAGCCCATATTAGACTATTGAGTTGGAATTCCAGTTGAGGTAACACCCAATAGAAGATAGTTGTTCCTATATTTGAAGTTGTATTGAACTCTAACTAATTCTAATTCGAGTTAGGCTGGACATCAAACAAAAGATCCTTCTTAAGAGTATTTCAAGTCATATTACCATAGTAGGCTATAGTTCGGATTCGAGTTGGATTGGACTATAAATAAAAAAAATTCTTTTAAAAAGATATTTTTTCTATTTGCACTTGCACAAGAGATGTTATGCTCAGTGTTGAATTCCCTCCACTCATATTAACATTTATTAGTTTATTTTAATTTCCAATTCTCCCTTGACCTTTCGACCACTTTAATTAGTCTCATCAATACAACTAAACCCGGTTACCCTTCGGCCTTGTTCGTTATGGAATTGTTACTGTCAGTCTTTTAAATGATTCAATTGAGAAACGGTGATTTCCAAAAAGAAAAATATTAATCATCATACAAACCGAACCACTTGAGGATTCCTTCAATTTGGTTATTTATGTCGACAATTTTATTGACAAGTCATATCATAAACATTTAATTAATGTGCATATATGCCAAATTATAAATAAAACACATTCCTCAAGTTTGATCTGATTATACGAACTAAATACTTTTTAAGGAAAATTAGATGGATCGATTTAATTATAAAACGTTTGAACTTTGAGAATTAAATTAGAAATAATATCACCCATAAAAAGCCATGATTTTTTATGGAAAAATTATTACTTTTACTAAAATGATGTCATGTCAAGAGGAGAGAGAGTAAACGCCACCTCCCATACAATCTCTGTTCTTTCCTTTGCGTGGGCGTTCTCTCGATCATATTTCTACAGTCCGCCAAATGCTTCTCCACGAAGTACAATGTTACCGGTTCAGTTATTGTAGCCTTTAATTTATTTGCGTACTACTTAACTGGTTTTTAATGCGAACATCATTTAATTAATTTGAATTAATTAATTAATAAATAAATATTTAATTATAATAAATGTCATATGATCTAATATAAATCATGAGTTTACAAGTTAAATAAATCAATTTAAAGAAAAATAATAAAATGAGAAAAAATGATCGATCAAAATTAATTCTCTAACTTTTGCATTCAGAGTTAAAAAGTATTTAGTTGTTTGTTTTTTGAAAAGAACTTTTTCAAAAATAATTTTAAAATACCATTAATTTACTGAGACAGAAACTTAATTCCAATTCTAGAAAAGCGATTACAAATCCACCTGGGAAATTATCAATTTCTCACGTACATGGCGTAGCAAGCTAGCCTTTGACCCCCAAAAAAAAAAAAGGTTGTAAGCTAGTCACAATCAGTGTCAGCCCAAATAACTTTGTAATCGTTGGATCATCACTTACAGTGCTTAAATTAGAAGAGCCAGGTTTGATTCTCTGAATTCTGATCACCATAATATAATAATTAATACAGTTAACAAAATTTTATCGGCAATTTATTGCGTTTTGGTGCCAATAATGTTTGCACCTCGGTATCTAAATTCCATAACGTCCCAGTAGTTTCATCCCATGGAAAAGGCACCGAAACAGCCAAAAGAGGATGGATTTGTTGGGGAGGTGAAAACTCGCTATTGTTATATGCACGATGGAGTCGGGAACACCATTACTGTTATTATTTTGAAGGGCCCAAGGGGCCGAAAAAGAACTTAATTTTAAGAAGAGTACGATAAAAGAAAAACTGTACAGCTACCTTCGAGGAGCACCAGAAAGAATGGGATCAACGACAGCGGATCCATGCTCTCCGAATGCTGGAATACTGAGAGAACGTCTTCCCAACTTGACTTGGCCAGAACCTGGAGGAGGCAGACTCTCCTCACTCTTCTCCATGAGCATAGAGTAATAAGAACACATGGGCTCCAGCGTTGGCTCGCTTCTAGTTCTAAGGAAGAGATCCAGGTTCTCTTGATCACAATATTTATTCCCCGAAACCGTGGTAAGCTTCCTCTCAGAATCCTCTTCCTCATCTGACTGGTACCCATTTTCCTGCATGTCTTGCATTGCCAGATCGTCATAGTCTTCATCAGACATATTAGATTCCTCATCCACTGAGCCTACCTGTACCCAGCAAAATGAAGTTTTCGTTACAACAGAAAGGACCCGAAAAAATATTCCTATTAAATTATTTATCCTTTAGAAACGGTGCTTTTACAGAAACTCTGCAACTTAAACCATCCACTGGCAGTAAGATCAGCATTCTAGCACCCAGCGGAATGTTGGGAACTCTGCTCTAAGGTAAATTTCCTTGCATGAGGATATGAGAACTCTACCTCCTCATCGTGTCGTTGCTCCCTACCATCACTCAAATCGTCATCACTGCCCCCCTCTGGTGGATCATCAATCTCTTCATCACTACCATGCACTGAAAGCTCCTCCTTGAGCTGGAGTAATGGAAATCCAAAATTAAAGCTAGCAGACGAAGCTGAATAATTGTTATAAACCCAAATTCATAGATTTTCCCCATTATGTTACAAGAAGTTAATTTTCATATTCAACCAAGGAATTTATTGGCAGGATGTTCAAGTTACCTCTTTTGCAGGCCCATCAGAAAACCTGGGTGAACTGCAGCCAGATGAAAGATATCTACTACCTGTTTCGGTCCCGTCAGCCCTTGACTCATCAACACTTCCAGCCCGACTAGTACCACCATCGCTGGGCCATGCACTGATCCCATACAAACCAAACTGAAGATTTACAGGTTCTGCCTTGCTAATTTGTAATGGTCCATACATTGGATTTCCTATTCCATTCCATGATCCATGGCCCCTAACAGGCTTTCCATTATTGTCAACAGAATTAACAGGCCAAGCCTTTGCCACAGATCCATCAGTATTAACAAGAGCCATCAGATGCCGTGAAGAACCTTTTCTCTGTATCAACTGAAACATTCCTTTAGAGCTCAAAGAATTGGCTGCACACTGGTTCCTATATTCCTCATCAACAACAGACACAGTACATCTGATGGGATCATATAATTGTTCACCAGCCTCACGCCTTCGAAGACAGCTGAAAACAGTAGCATGGATGGCTGCTACGCTCTTATCAACATTTGTATTGTTTATTTTGGGAACGAAATACTTGTCAGCACGCTTACAGAGATAATCCTGGATTGTTCTGATGTTACGAATATATTTCACATATTTGTTTTTAGCTGGGTCCAGAGTCATATACTTTGCTCGTACAGCAAATCGTTCCAGGTGCTTGTCCTCATTTGCAATATATATCATGAATGGTATGATTGAAGGATGCTTCTTCATTAGCCCCATCTGCATGAGGAATAAGTAATTATCAAGCGAATATACTATCATATACAAGAAGAAGGAAAAGAAAGATGTATCAAAGAAATCAAAAGATATATCAAAGAACTCAAATGTTAACTGTTAACATACGATAAAGTTGAGGCTCAAGTGAACACCCTCGACAACAACTGATTCTTTTCGTTCTTCCCAGGCAGTGATTAGTCTATCAAGACTATCAATTACCATCTCACTCTGTGCCTTGTATCCTTCAATAGCCATTTGTTTTCGACTTAGCAATTCGGTGGTACCAGAACCCACCTCTGATTTCTGTGCATCAGATTTTCTAGAGCAATGATCCACTGTTATTTCATCCTTTTGAACTGATCGTGACACAACAGCCAGCTTTTTTGCTTTCCTTCTGGCCTTTGCTTCTGCAACTGCTACAGGATCCAAGCACTCTCCTGCATGATAGGTAGAAGCCCATAACAAGGGATTTTCCTTCTCATCAGCAAAACTTCTCATCATGTGCCTAATAGAGTCGGTTGATATTACTGTTGTGATTCCTAGCCTGCAACCCTGAATAGAAGTATAAATGGTTCTCATGATGATAAATATATGTTCTCCTTTTTGATAATCCTAGTATCACAAATATATTACACCATTGTGTATTCATAATTGCAATATTACACCATTGTATATTCATAATTGCAAAGTCGCTACTATTTTCTCTGTAAATACATACCAGCAATGCTGACAAGGTGGATTTGCCGCAGCCGCTAGTGCCACACAACAACACTGTTACTGATTCCTTCCGTTCCCTAATTCTGCCATCGAAGAAAATATGTGTTAAGAAAGAAGCGAATTGTACTTCATATCATAAAATAACCACCTCAAGGTCAATTATTGAACAAAAGCATTAGGGACTTGTTAGTCTCTCACTCCTCTTGATTTTCGGCATGCTAGTAAACAGAACCAAAACCGTAGCAGGAAGGGGGAACTCTTTTAAACCGGTAACTAAAATCCAAGTGTTATAATTTAGAATTGCGCGAATAAAAGTCTCTATTTTGAGTTCCTTGAAAGTCTATTAACCAGATTTGACACAAATTGAACGAGCAGTATTCTGATTATGGAAATAGGAATTCGAAGAAGATACCACAGGATTCAGAGCATATCTTTAGAGGCACCACAGTTAATCAAGTTGATCTTGGCAAGAACCAACTTCAAGTCATATTTATCGCTGGTTACTCTATTCAGGTATGTCACATTTAATGGTTAGATTTGACAACTGGCTTAGAGCACAAAGATATTTAAAGAAATGTGAAGATCAAACAGCTTGTATTCAAGTCTAACGCAACCATCCAAGCATATGCCATTCACTTTTACATATTGGTAGGAAGAGAACAAAATCGTAATGTGCTGGGCTGCTGGCACCAAAATAACTTGTCATTTCGCCCTCTTCTTTGAAGAATAGCTTGATCATAGTCACACCAGCCACGCACCGCACAATAGCTATTTTTTTCCTGTTCAGGTATATATCTTATATGGTCTTCGAGCAAAATAAAATGATACCATACCTGCATGCTAGAACTAAGTCTGCTCTCTGGTTGGGACCCACATACTTATACTCAGTCAAAGCATCGCAAACAATATCTAAAAATTTTCCCTTCGAACAAAGGCAGTAGTGCGCTTTTTATACAATTCAAATGGCACACTCTTTGTTTTCCCTTCTTTCCCTGGAAATAACTGGTTCATGCCATCTGTTTTACCAAGGTCAATATCATCACGATGACCATCTGCTTTCTCAAAATTTTCCTTTGGAGCATGCAGATCTGATGCGATCATT